ATTTCATAACTTAATTAAAATTATCATTTACTATAAATCGAGTCGTGTTTATCTAATACAAATCAAATACGTTTTTGGAACTTTTAAAAGTCTTTGTATCCTTCTATAGTATTTTTAAGTATAAAATATTTGGTACATTTACCAGCATAAATTATTTAACAATTATTTTGTAAACACACTCACTCTTGTACACATTTAGACACAACTACACATATTTGCACAACGCATGCTACGTAGCTTAACAGTATTTACCCGGCGATCCCGACCACTATATTGTTCGATCTACTACACCGCTGCACACCCAGCTAGTATTTTTAATACTTAATTGCTAGTGGTGCTCAAAACTAAGTAGTGTAAAAACCTGGTGTCTGGGTGAGTGTAATATTACTTATAAGCATTAAAAGTTCAAATGTTGACAAAATATATTGTCAATCATTATTTTAACTTTTCAGAAATAAGTGTAATACAAAGTCCTGTTCCTGTGAGCAGTAATTTACGGATTACTTAGGTATAACCAGTGGCGCTGAACTTATTTATTATGTAAAGCAATTGCTTCACTTCTTAAATTTAAATGACTGGGCAGTTGCTGTGGGTGGGTAGTTGGATAAACATTTTATACTTCGCTTCACAAAGAATTTTAGAGCTCGGCGCCTTTGGGTATAACAGTAAAATATTATGTGAATTATGAAATTGTTTTAATTAGATATAAGCTAATTATATTTAAATAATTAAATATATTTAGTAATATCTTGTATATTATATTTCATTACCACTTAAGCTTTCTTCCACGCATTCACGCATTAAATGCTCCTCGAATACAAATCTGCGTCAGGACTAAAAGCTAATTACCCACACAATCACAACACAAAGTTTTCTGTAAATAACGCTGTCTTTTTTCTGAGTAAACAAGGCAATTACGCAGCCATGCTCATCAACATTGGAATTTTAAATCTCATTTTTTATCAACCCGGTATAATGGAAATTTCTATTGCAATGATGGCCATTCTTTATACCTAACAAAACTCCCATCATATCGCTTACTATAAATAATTACATACATATCTTACTGTATATAGTGTAACATGTATGTTTATATAATACTGGCATCTATATATTATTCTTATTGTTATGTCTATCTAAGCAAAACCGTTCCATCCGCTCAAACTGCACCCACAAACCTTCGCTTCAGTCACAATAACGACACTCGCCTTATGCCTACGGATGTGGTCATACGTACTGAATTTCATAAAATAAATCCAATACATTTTTTGTGCGTTTAAAATAATAAATGTATCCTCCAAATTCAAAAGTATTTAAAATATATGAATTGTGTTGTTGGTTAATACTAAATTGTAAGCCATAATAAGCCGGCAGGCTGCAGCAAAATTGAGGTGAGTTGATCTGCTATATAATTAAATCCTTACATAAACATATATACGAAAGTAAGTCTATAGTATATATAGGGTATATATATATATATATATATACGAAGGTAGTAAATTAGAGTGCGTATGTAATATATATAAATAATAAATTATATATGAATAAAATTATTGTTAATAATAAAATATTGCTTAAGCACTTTATTTTGAATTACTACAGTATACAAGTCTTTAGTATCATCTTGGCGTAATCCTGATAGTAATGGTAAATATGCTTGTATTAATTTACCACATATTGTATTGTTATCATTCGACATTCACCTTAACATCTTAAAAAAAAGTAGAAATCGCTCACACAAAAATATTGAAAACATGAATTTTTATTTTAGTAATAAATTATACAATTTTCTCTTTGTTGAAGAAAAAATTAACATAATATAAGGGGAGTCCTATGAGGATATACCCATTAGCCGTAGAGGGGGACTCGTAAGGGGTTTTTTTGTCATTTTACCTATAAACTAAAAAAATGTTTAAAAATCGTGAAATTAATGAAAATAAAATGTTGAAAGGTCAAAATTTTCAGAAAAATAAGCTATATAAATAGGATATCTTCAATTGTTTCAAAAATACATTTTTTAACTTTTTTACCAAAAAAATTTAACTAAACGAAAAGATAAAAAAAAAAAAAAATGATGTAAAAATCTTAAACCATGTAAACATACCATAACTGTAACTAATGGCCATGCAGTTGCCGAGTTTTTGTATTTGATCAATAAAAAAAAAAAAAATGTATGTAGTCTTTGTCCCCTGGAAGTCTAATAAAAAAAAAAACATATACACGATATATTTATTATCTCAAGAGATATTGCAAATGGTAAATTATCGCTGCACGCCCTGTATATATTTTTTAATAGATATGTATTTTAAAGTAATATTTATCTCAACAATGTTAATAAACATAAATAAACAAAATACAAGATAACAAGGGTAATATAATTTGATAGGTGATTTTAGTTTTAATGGTTATATACATTTAATTTGACTACATTTTGAGTGATTTCTCTTATTAGATTTATAAAAAGTTTATGTAGACAGTTACAATACACATAAATTACCATTAACCAAAATTGCCAAGTTAATAAAAAATAATACTATCAATTAATATATTTAACATGAATAAAAAATAAAAAATTACATGGCACACTTAAAGAATTGTGTGCAACGGCAAAATGGTTGGTAATAGATTCTAATCTACCAGAGTAATATATATATAAATTGCTGGTGGTGTCTTACTGTCGAAAAAGAATTAAATGTAAAAACACTAAAGTTGTGTAATAAATCCAGAACACGCTTCTCTCAAACCTTTAAAATTATTATATTTATTGAAATATGCATATTTACAGTTTACTTATTACTCATATTATACAGGAAGTATTTAAAATGTTAGTGACCGGAACCTAATTATTTTTTACCTCCCACCTTCTTATTACTTTCAATTTTTGATAGAACAAATTAGTTGTCTTTATTAAAAATGTTATAAGCTTATATAGCTACATAAAGGTCGTCAATTTGTAGTTAAGCAAATTCGAAAAAGAAAAAGAAATTAATTTTATATATTGCATGATGGGTACATAATAGTATTAATATTAATAACGTATACCTAATACACATCACTCTTTATATAATGTGTTAAGTTTTTTTTTTTCAATATTAAAAAGTCTTTATGTTTTTAAATATGATTATTACATTATAAATTATGGTTCAAATAAATACTAAATTTACTCTTGAATTTTTAAGAAACTTAACTAACTTACTATTGACAATCATCAAATTTAAATTATATGGTGAGGTATAGTAGAATAGTAGATATGATTCTATAATTTAAAGTATTATGGACTCTCCTAAACTACTTACGATTAACATAGACTGACTAAAGACAAGATCTTACATGCCCATCAGGTGTTTTAATTTTTCATACCTATGAATGTATGCAACAATAACTAGGTATGTAAAAAATCAACCAATAGACCGAATGATGAGTACAGCCAATAAGGGCCCGTCAACTCTGTTAGTATAATTTTGTACCCACTATTTAATTAGAATATGTGTTTACAAAATTTTACTGAAATGTCCTATGTTGTCATAAATTAAATAAATAAATAATTGTATTAATTAGTCACGGTGATAATATCCCCCCTTAATTAATGTGTAGGTATAATACAATGTAAATAATAATTAAATTTAAGTAGGTATCAGAATAAAAAATCTCAGTTCAAAAATGTTTAATTGTAGAAAAATTAAATTATAAGTTTGTAGGTACATATTATGGTAATATAATTGCAGCAGCAAAATAGTAATTAAACTAATGCGGAAATCAAGTTTCCTGAATAACAAAAATAATACATCACTCATTATAAAAACATTTTCACACAAGTACCTAATCTAATGAAATTAGTTTTAATTATGATTTTGAAGTTAAAGCATTTTTGAATTTTGAATTTGAAACGTGAGACAAATTATAATCGATGTAAATGTATTGATAGAGTTACGAGGTTAGTATCAGGTATTTTTTTTCGTGCGAGGCGCCATCTGTAAAAAGTTGTGTTTGAAGAGTTCCACGAAGATTGATGGAAATTATACATATAATTGTTTAACAATTTCATACTATTTCCGGATATGAATAACAATTATTATGATATTTCTGAAATACTTTTTCCAAGGCAAAGCTATCCTATAGCTGTAAGGTCACATCCAATAGTGATTAAATATTAAGTCAATACTCCCAGGGAATTATCAATTGCCATAAAACTTTTAAAGTAAGGACTAATGATTAAAGAAATTCAACACATTGGCGTCATTAGAGTCGAAGTTCTGGGATAGCGTAAAAAATTATCTAAAAAAAATTTGAATTCAGTTTATTTTTTGAAAGTGAAAGAACATATCACTTGTTTATGTCCTCTATCTTATATGTCTTGCTATACACAACACTTAATATTAAAATACAACTAATTTTGTTCTATAACAATATTGTGAATATTTAAATTTTAAATTTGAATAAAATCTACACATTTTTCACAGAATAGGTAATTATTATTATGTTCACATCAAAAATTAAAAATTGTTTTGGCCATGATATTTTAACGGAATTCAACCTACAAGTCACAATTTACAACTAAATACACAAATTATTTTCGTTAACACATGAGGAATAAATATCGAATATAATAAATATTAAACACATTTTCAAAATGCAATTGATATTTGTGGTAGCTAAACGATACTCTTGCTATCAAAAACACAAGATTAATTCCTGGGGTAGCAAAAGTACCCCTCGATACCCCTTAGCGGGGTCTATAAATTTAAACGTATAATACTTTCTCTTTATTCAACTATTTTTTTTTATTCAAAATTATACCTATATAAAAAAATGAATTAATAGTTTATATGATTATTTTCAATCAATAAAAAAACAGACACGTACGTAGGTATTATAAAAATGTAAATGCTTGCTTGATACATAGTTTCTATACATGTATTTTCATATATATTACAATACAAAATTCACTATAGTCACTTGATATATAATTTAGAATTTATATAAAATAATTAAATATCTTCATTTATTTGCTTACAATAGGTAGGTATACTTTTAAAATACAATATTAAATACAAATGTAATAGCGACTAATCATTCAAAACAAATACTTTATAAATATCCAACACAATTGGAACACGAGATAAATAACTAGAACAACACACAACTGATGCAGCCTCAATAACCTAAAAAATATAAAACAAAATAAATATACATACACTACAACTATTAAAATTGGTAATATTTTGTTTCAATAAATACAATTATATTTTTTAGCAGTACCTTTTATTTTTTGATATAGCATTTTCAATGTTACTTATGTCTTCATGAAGTATATGTGTTCTGATACCATAATAATAGGATTGTATATACGACTTCCAATCAAATGATTTTAAACTGAACTGGAACATATTGCGATCGTCTTTACTTAGTGACAACCACAACTGTCTAGTATTTTTATTGTCAAATTTCCACTGCCTGGTAGAAAAATCGTAAAGTAAATCGACCATATTCTCTGTTTTTGCATACATTTTTAACATTCTGTATAAAAAACATAATACATTTATTATTCATCATTTCCGAAAACAATAGATGTATCAAACAATGTTATAAAATAAGATGAACTAATTAGTATGCAAAATATTTTTTTAACAACACGCTCTATAATAATTTTTAGTCATTTCTTCAACGACCCGAGACTCAACTTCTCGCTGTAGCCTGCATAATTTTAGAAAATTTGAATTTCAATAAAGCATTTATACAGTTTATAATAAATAAACCTGTATTACATAGATACTTATCTACAATTCAAATTTAACAATCCAAATATTATGTCTATACACCTTTAGATTCTAAAAGAATGATAGAATAAACTAATCTGTATATAAACAACCCTGAATATAAAATGTAAAAACTCAAGAAATAACCAATCAATTTTAGAATACTGATCAAGCCCAATGACTATAATTACATAAACTATACTACAACAATCTCTCATTACAACTATATATTTATTTTTATAGTATACTACCTATACAAAATATGAACCAGCAAAACATTGTGTATGAATATATTTAGTAAATAAGGTTGTGAATTTAAAAAAAATATATTTGTTTATTGTAGAGTTGTAAAAGTGTAGGCTTTAAATCGTAATTAAATTTTTGTTTATATTTTTGTTTTTTGGGTTAATTTGTCTGTTTTTCTCTTCTCTTCTTTATTCTATTATTTTTTATTTTTTACTCTCAATTATATAGGTACCACCATACTAAAAAGTTAATAGTAGATACACCAAAGTTTAGATGGATAATTACCTAAGATCTTTGTAAATACATAATCGATTTATAAAATACGCATATTATAATATTTTGAATATTATTTGACACTATTCTAACTAAAATTATTGAATAACCAAACATATAAATTTGTAAACTAACTCTTAATTAAATATATTATGTATTATGTATTATTTAGAAACTCCAATATCGCCAATACGGGGTACTACCTCAGTGGCGAATTGAGCCAGATAATTTGTAATGTAATTAATTAATGTATTTAATGCATTTATTTTATTTTATGTAACTCTTTTAGCAAAATAAATATTTATTCATCTCTTAAAAAAAAATCAAAATCAGATCAATTACTTATTACATATTACCTACATAAGTATCAATTATTACAAACAAAGCAAGCAAAACAATTGTATCTATAATATGTATATTATATATATATGGTATATTATACCATTGTTACTATTGAGTGTCACATATTACAAGAAAATATAGTCAAGTAATAAAATTTACATTTATAATGAATATAAACATATTTATATATCCGTATACATGTTTATCCAAATTACAAACAATAAAAAGTGCAATCACTTACTTGGGAGATTTACCACGTATAATCAACGCCAAGTCCATAAATGCGCCTGGTATTCGGTGCAAGAAAAATCTCAAAATGCTTCCAACAGTGAAATTTGTGTAGAAAATATAAAAAGCGTACCACATTGATTGCAAAGGGGGAGCTAAATAATATTGACCGTGCATTTCTCTGATAAATCTACCCCAAGTCAACGAGCTTTCGACACAAGAAACGTAATTATATATTTTCGGCACCTCGTTTCCGCCATTCGATCGTTTTTGCCTGGATAATTATCAAAATGATATTTAACGCTTGTTCGCTCATAGAAAATGTCTTACGTGAATAATTGCATACCTGTTGACTGTGTCCCACATGACGCTAATCAATGCGTTTACGGTGTAATCTGCAGGGATAATATCTGTGATTTTGCTCCCGATGTTTGGTGCCGTCCTTAAAAATCCAACCACGGCTGCGGTAACCAAGCCCGTTGGTCCGTTCATGTTTTCTAACCAGCCAGGTTCCGGTTCAGAATGCGTGCATCCGACTGTAATGTTATTAGGTTGATAAAATTTCCGTTTTTAAAAATATACTATTTTCGGGGTATTCAAATTTCTGTATGACAACATTAAAAGACGAATAAAAAAAAAATAGTATTCTTACTGATTGAAGGACGAAATATTGATATCGGCAAGCGATTTCCATTTGTCAGTATCATGTTTTCCGTGACTGCTTTCGTAAAAGTATAAGTGTTGGGCCAATCCTCTATGATTCTATTGTTCAAGTGAGTATATTTTTTTTTAAAGATTATAATATTATTCATCAATCGAAAAATGTATAATAAATTAAAAATTATATTTACTTAGAAGTTGGTACGTTATCAACCAACATATTTTTCAACTCTGTAACTGTGACCGGGACCTTATAGTATTCTTCTTTGATTTCTTTCCTCGGACAGTGTGAATAAGCGGTCGACACGTGAACGAAACCCTGCAAAATCAAATCATTTCTCAAATATTTCAGTTTATACTTTTTAATATTTAGAGAAAACGTATTTCCTTATGATGATAAATCTTTCTATTTAATTTCTAATGCTTTAGGATTATTTTTAATTATCAGTTTATTATCTGGGAACAACGTAATTTATAAATACAGAGATTTTATGAAGTAATTTGAAAATGTATCAAGTGACCGATAAAAAAGATAAGGGGACCGCTATTTGCCATATCTGCTTTATCTACTGTTCTGTATTTTATGCATTCAGTTTATGGCAGCTCTAGAAAATATTATTGTAACAAATGCGTCGTTTCTATACAAGGTATCCCTTGTTTTATTTCGTCAACAATTTCTTTTTATTAATTACCTTAAGATTTTTCATTTTTGACGCTAATGCCAGCAAATTTTCGGTCCCTTGAATATTTATTTTTGATGCTAACTCCAGTGGTTCGTTGAACTTAATCGTTGCTGCGCAATGAAAAATGAAGTTAACATTTTCTATCATCCAGGCAAGGTCATTTAACGATAATCCCATTGATGATTCCTCTAAATTTCCTTCAATAATTTTAATGGACTTCATAAAATCTGGTTTTTCATGACGAATTCGATCAAAAAGCTGAAAAAAATTAATGTTCTATTAACAATTCAAATACAAATACAAATTATTACATTTTTTAAAATGTAAGTTGTATTTAGGTACGTAACTTATAATTTATTGATCATTTTATATATTGGACCTTTTCCGTTTAGTCACTGCTATTACTATGTACTAAAAATATGTGTTCACTGTCATCAATATAAATTTAAAATTGTTTTACGAAATACCTATAAAAATAACTGAAAGATAGAGTTATACGCAACTAAAGGCAATAGCTAGTAGAATCTGACCCCCCTCCACACACAAAAAAAAAATTGGTCTTAACTTCTAAGACAAAGTAGTAGCTATTAGGCCAGTAAAACTTTTGAAGTAGATTTTTATATTTCTGGTAGACTCCAGGCGTTTATTTAAAACCAATTAATAATTAGGTAAATTATGAAATAGTTAACTTTCAAAGTAGGTACCTAGTTCAATAAAAAAATAATGACTGGTTACTAAATTTCAATCAAAAAAATAATAAATATTAACTTTCAATTGTACTAAATCTACCATATTTTTAACACATAAGTACACCTATGGTTTATTGTGAATCAATACTTGACATTTTAATGTACTGATAATCATATATTCATACCATTTATTCTAATTATATACTATTCATAAAATAACACAACATTGATAAGATAAATTTCGCATTAATTTCAATGTTAATAAATATATTTTATTTTTGGGTTTTAAGACGTGACATTTATAAACATGTTTCTCATATAAATAATCATTTTCATTCTTATGTGCAATAACTTATCTTTTAAGTATTTCTTAATGTTTAAAATTAAAAATGATACTTTAAGAGTTTTTACACTGGTTAGTGGTCCCCACAATAGTACTAGAGTAGTCACTGTATATTGTCTGTAATAGTATTACATTATTATAATTATTATTATTTTTTTTTTTTTTGAACTGATAGTGGTTGACAATTGTTTTTTTAATTTATACTTTAAATGAAATTTTCTTAAGTTAAGAGTTAAGATATTTATAATCTACTTAATAACAGTTATTCTCAACAAGTATTTATAGGTAGATATTTATTTAAAATACCCATAATAAATTTAAATTTTAAGATTGTATTTACAAGGATAATTTAAACAAAATCATCAAAACTGCACTTGAGATATAACATTGTATCTATGTACGATTAACAACAACATTATACTTACAGTTTGCTTGAATATTTTTGCAACCCTTTGGCTAGCACTTAGATCTTTTTTACTTCTGACAAGCAACACAATATTTTTGACAGGACAAGATCTGAGTAATTTTTCAGAGAGTATTTTCCCCAAAAATCCAGTACTTCCTGTTATTAAAACTATCCCATTTCTAAACGATTCTGCTACACCTGTTTCCATCATTAAGGTTAGGTTTAGTGTGATTGTTAAGACTATAAGATGTAAGTTCTAATGTATGGAAGTAACAACTGAGAAACAAAACACGATAAGTGCACAAACTGAAGCCATACAAACTGTTGATCCCTTATTAATAATATATGTTCAAAGCAAGTGCAATAAAGAAATTTGATTGAGCGGGGAAGTACTGCCCATTTTTAGTATTTTAATTTGATCAGACGTACGTATTCCATAGCTCTCTCCCCCTCTAAAAACGTGTATAATTGTTTAATCAAGGGCAACCAGAGAAGAAAATATCTAGGAGTAATTTAATAATTAATAATTAATAACATTCATAATTAAAATCTTATTAAATATTCAGTAAATAATACAATACCTAACGAAATAGCAAAAAACTCCACAACAATCAACAGCTGGATATAAATACCAGGAAGTATTTCTTCACTCACTTCAGTTCGTGATAGTAATCTTGTCATAACGTATTAAAATGAGTAAGTTCATGAATTCCAATTTCCAATATATGCAAAATTGTTTTATTTAATTACATTTATAATTATGTTTAGTTACAGAATAGATGACAAAATAATTAAATGGACAACACACAACAATGTGGAAAAAAATTATTATTTTATGTGTAACATAGTTAGTACCTACGTCATTGACCATTGCATAAAAAAATCAGCAAAAAAAAAAAACAAATTAATGAACTCAGATTAAAGTAAACATTCCTACTTGCGAGTACAGTTAGACGACATAACTGTGGTATGTACGACAATAAACATATTTGTTCGTTATTCAACATTATTATTTTTTATTAGTTATTAACAAAATACATTATATTTACCTAATTATTAATTTCAAATTTAATTATATTAATTTAATTCTAGCTATATGATAATTTACTTTTCTGCACTATATTGTACAGAATATTATAATATCCGTCCATTCGTAGCCAACGTTTTTTTGACTAAATAATGAATATATTTTATAATGTAGGTTGATCATACAAAAATTATATTAATATTGAAATATAACATATTTTGAAAAATAATAATGCCAAAAAAATGTTTAGTATTCGTTTTTATGCTAACTCTTTTATTTTCTTCTCATATATTTTTTTTATAAAATTAAAGAGCTCTATTATATGCTAGACCCTAGACAGACGAGTTTGTGTATTTTTCCATTTTCGAAAATAGTTGTTCTATATTACGTTCTATATAAAGCCATTTCAAAAAAATTAGTTTGAATTTTAAATGGTTTAGCAATGTTCAGATAAAGTTTCTTTAATTTATTTTTTTATTATTATTATAATCAAGACTGTAAATTTGATGCATTTGCTTTTATATTTTGCTACATTGTAAGAATATGGATTGGCAAAAATCTGTTTGTGCTATATATAATTCAAATAGATAATTTAATTTTGAATATTTTTAACGATTTAGGATATATAAATTGACATTTTAATAATTTTATAGTATTGATTTAATAGATTTTTTTCTCAATGTTCCAGTTGCCAATATAAATTTGTCCATAAAATATTCTGTATGAGATTAGCGATCCAGTTCTGTAGAATCAACTAAATTTGATAATTTTTTTTGTTAACTAATATAGGGTAATATTCAACTGCAGCATTGAGCTCCGTTTTTCAATATTTTAATCTCAAACTTTATAATGTGTACTATACGAAAATAATACAATTTTAAGTTTTTATTTACAAATTATATGAATATATGATAGTATATTAACAGTATATGAAATAAAATAAAAAACCAGAGTTCGATGCAGCCTATAAGAAGACTTCTTCTTTCAGGTAAAAAAATAGTTATCAACGCCCGTAAATTCTACAAGGCCTGAGAATTATTCATGTATAGTCATTTTTTTCGATATAAGACACTGTATTAACTCCCTCCTCCCCCTAATAAAGTATCAGGCAGTAGCTTGGTAAATTAGTATTATCATTAGAGTGTCAATTAAAATGTAAATTATAATTTTCAACTCCTAAAAAATTGTGAAAAATTTGAAAAACCGACACCGGGCCCCATAATATTTATTAATAGATTACCGATGAATCAGGTCTAAATTTATTAATCAGTGATCACTAAAAAATAATAATATATTTGTCTACTTCACCGATATTTAATATTTATACTAAATTAAAAATTATATAAACAATGTAAAAAAATTAATTTTTTTATCACATCATGTTAACTTGGACTTTATTAGATTGTTCAATTTACATTTTTAAGATTTTTTCGCACAAAAACCCCGTTAAAACCGGTGAAATGATCTAAAATGTTTTAAATATGATCAGGTTGTGGGCAAATAGGTGAAAAATCAAAATAAAAGAATTTAAATCCGTCCAAGTCACATTTTCACTTAGAAATCTCGATTCACCACCTGTTACGCTAAATTATCAAATAATGTCCAACAGCAAATGTAGTTAAAAATATTTTGGTCTGACTCAAGATTAATGCCTAAAATGGAGCCCACAGATAAAACTGTTAACTCTAGACTTCACTTCCTAAAACCACTTTTTAAACCCAAACTCTTCCTATCCAATAAACTTACTATATACAAGTCAATAATTTAACTAGTTTGGACATCAGGTATACAGTTATAGCGCTCGGCAAAGCGTCCAATGCCAAAACGCTTCAAGCGTTTCAATCCATCAGCTTAAGACTTAACGTTTGCTTATTCGTACTTCACAAATGCCTAAAAATTCCTACACTTAATCAATCAGCAAAATTATATTACTTAAAATTTTTTTACTAAATTAAACTCTCACAGTAACTCATTAATCAAACAACTATCATCCGTCTCACTCCTGGTAATGTGAATAGAAGACTTTAAAAAAATTAGCCTAGAGACTTACTAAAATGAAAATAAAAAAAATAAAAAAATGCAAAATAATACCTAAAATTTACCAGATCGGGTGACACTGCTGAGTGCCTGCTATAAGTTTTAATCTCATGTCACTAATCAATAACTATCAAATTTGCTTATTATACTAACTAATTGTGTAGATTGGAAATAATTTAATAAAACGTCTGTTTTTTTTTTTAAATGTTTTATTATTTAATGTTAAATTATACATAAAAAATAAAAATAGTGGAATACTCACTTCACAATTAATGTATTGGTTTAAAAATCAGGTTTTTTTATGCGTCTGACGTCACTTTAAGGAGAAGATATTTTGTTGTTATTTAAAAAATATTAATCGCTGCATAAACTTGAAACATTCTATCATACCTTAATTTTAATTTTCTGTACACAATGAAGTTTTCTAAATATTTAGAATTATTTAAGGATATTTATAGACATTTAAAGTGTAACTAATTGTATTTTATCGTTGTTAATAAAAAATGTTATGCTTAATCAAAAATTTTAAAAATCCAACACTCGATCCCACAAAAATTGTTCTGGTTGAAATTTCAAAATATTTCAAATATATTAAATGAACAGATTTTTATAGAATTTTGAAGTTTACATTATGACAACTTTTGATAACTGAAGACGAGCGTTTTAAATTATTTACGACCATTGATCAATGCTAAATAAATAGATAATATACTATTAGTACTTAGTAATATCTTTTAATAAATTACTAAACATAATACAATATACATAAACAAAATTCATAATGGTTACCTATATGAGCTATGAAATAAGACCTAGAGTACATGCGTAATAATAACTACTGAACAATTTAATAAAGTAGTTACTAGTTATACCTTATGCAGTATCAATGTGTCAATAGTCGTAACTTTTACATTGGATTTTCTGTGTACTAATTTCAAAGGCCTATTTTAATATTATTATTTTATTGTATATAATAGCAAGTTCAACACACCAAATCCAAAATTATTTTATAAACTATTTTAAATTTAATCCAACTATTATTTTAGTAGTTTGTATTACTTAAGAAATTAATTATTCTATAAAAATAACAAACTTAAATGTTAGTTCTTACAGGCAAGTAGGTCAAAATGACGAAATTTTAAGAAACCAGTAATATTTAACCCAACGATAAAATTAATTTAAATGAAATAAAATAAAATAAGTATAATAGAATTTGGTTTTAGCAGCAAGTTACATTTTGACACCATTAAAATCGTGACAAAAAAACAAAGGAACGATTTATAAACATGTAGCTAAAAAAAGGTAAAAAAACGGAAATGGTGAAGATGTTTATTTTTATTCTTATCGAGTACTCTGATAAGTGAAAACTAACAAAACGTTGATTACAAGGTCAAAACTGGACGAAATGCTTTCTATATTATCATGGCGTACTGTGTTCCGTATAATCTGCACGATCAAGGAATTACCTACTTACAACACAATAATAGATCATGCCCAAACAGTTGTAATATTAAGCACTTTGATTAAGACATTAATTAATTGAATACTACAATGTGTGTACAGAATTTTTACAAACAATAATAATTACGTTAATTTATTAATAAAATCCAAATTTGTAGGCTATAAAAAATTACAAGTTCATGTACATTAGTCATACATATATGTAATGTAGGACACAATTACATATAATTACAATTAATGTAGGTATAATCATACACAGATTCACTAAATTTAAGTTTTATTTAAGTTAATGATTAACTATTAAATTAAAAAGCTATTCTGGATGGATGTCAGTTTATTATCAAAACAATATAAAACTTTCGCCAGCTTAATTCACAAAATAAGAAGTCTTAATTATAAATGTAGTTAAATATTAACGAAAAAAAGTCAATCAGAATTATTTAATGAGAAATCTTTATTTTTTATTTTATCTTGAATTAGACTTTTTGGCGCTCCTAATAAATGTTTTGTGTCACTTGCAGTTCTACTACAGCATATTATAACCTATATACAATAATAAGTTTCGAGTCAGGTAATAGTGTAAGACGTATTATATATATATTACATACAATTGTATTCTATGGTAAAAATGCAAAATAAATTTCTTAATATAGGAAGTTTGGATGTCCGCGTTCATATCGAGATTGATTAAATTGTGTGATTTGTGTCTTGAGCTAACATAACAATATTAATATTCTTATAAAAACAAAAACTTAATTGGCTAAAACTTGATACATTTTCACTTGATTTCAATTTTTTTTTTTTTTTTAACTGTTTTAAAAAATATTAATCGTATTCCATTTAATTAGAATGTCCATGCTAAAACTAAAAAAATTGTTTTTAAATATATTGATTTGCTACGGATATTCTAAGAGTCATACGGGACTTTTGAAGCAAACAGAATAATAAGTAATAACAGATAGTGTACATCATAGTGGTCATGATAATCAGGCTTAATAACTGCATGGCATCAAAACCTGCAAAAGCGACTAGGAGACAAAAACCGAAGTATAAAGTGTTGTTTTTATGTTCAATACAAAATGTATATAAACTGCAGAATAATAGGGTACAATTTACCTTTTTGAGAACACTATTGAATATGTTTACTGTATAACAATGGAAACCCAAATGTATGCATTTTTGCTGTTTTCAAAAATAATTATTCAATTCATTTACTAAACACTAATTCATATACGTATAAAACTATCTAAAAATCGTCATTAAATATTACCAAATCACATAAAATTACAAATAATTTAAAATAAATGTTTTCCTTAGTAAATAGAGCCAATTTTAGATAAATACATAATATTTTTGCCATTTTTATACTCATCATAGGTTAGGTTAGGTTAATTTAATTCATTTGCTGATCATTAATTTATACATATAATATTGTCTAAAAATCATCATTAAATATAACCAAATATTACCAAATCACATAAAACTACAAATAAATTAAAATAAAATAGTATTTTCCTTGGTAAATAGAGCCAATTTCACATAAATACGTAATAATATTTTTGTTATTTTTATACTTATCAATTATCATATTATATTATCATAGAAGCTTTAATCCGCTTTAAATCAGATGGAGCCATATTTTTACTAATTAATTTTAAAATTTAATATATTTTTGTCATAGTTTCGACTTGGATTGAATGAACAAATATACAAGGGCATCTGCAAGGGGGTGCCTGAAGGGGGGCCATTCCTCTCGCTATTTCAGTTAATATTAATTGTTTTATCACTTTAATATAAATAAATAATGTATGCTATATTATCAGAGATTTTTTAGTTTGACCCAACCCCCCTCTCCGGCTTATATTTCTGCAGACGCCCTTGAATATATAATAATATGTGTCTACCTAAATAACAATTATCTAAGTACTTTTATATTGCTTATTGAAATTTAACTTTTACTTTAAAAAAAAACCAAACTACGACTATGCGTCGATACGGATACAGTGTGATCACGATTTAAGGTAACATTAAATATTTTGGCCGGATGAACTTGTATCGAAATGAATTTTGGAGGGAACCTAGGAGGTACTGAAATACATATTTTGTGAATTTTCAGATTTTTAACACTTACGGTGTACACGTGCTCAGTGCAAAGTGTATTTTTTTAATCGTAACACCTATTTTTAGCATATGATTTGGATTGAACAAATTTTTTCAAATTGATATTTGACTCATAATACTTGGCTCGAAGTTCAAAATCGAATGAATGACAGCCATAATTTAATTTTGAAAAAAAAAATGTTTAATTTACCTGTGTAATTTTTTTAATTTTAGGTCCATGTATGTAATTTTTTTTTCATTACATTTTATAATTATTATTTATATGATTAATATTATTATTATTATTAACAGTAGTAGTAGTAGTACTGAATATTGTAATTATTTTTATTAACTCAGCAAAATAAATGCAAACATTAAAATGTACATAGGTATCTAGTATTTAAATATTTAACATTTTTATTCATAATTTGATGTCCGGAAATTAGTTACAAAAATTTGAAACATAGTTTCCCTAAAGGAAGTGAAGATTTGTGCATAGAAATTATAGCATTTAATGAAAAAAAATAAAATTACATACATGAACCTAAAATTAATAAATTACACAGGTAAATTAAACATTTTTTTTCTCAAAATTGAATAATGGCTGTCATCCATTCAATTTTGAACTTAGAGCCAAATATTATGAGTCAAATCAACTTGAAAAAATTCGGTCAACACAAATTATATGCTAAAAATAGGTGTTACCATTAAAAAAAATACACTTTGCACTGAGCATGCGCAAACCCTAAGTGTTAAAAATTTGAAAATTTCACAAAATATGTATTTCAGTAGGTACCTCCCAGCCCCCCCTCCCCCAAAAAAAAATTAATTTCAATACAAGTTCATCCAGCCGAAATATTTAGTATTACCTTAAATCGTGATCACAATTACCTACCTATTATAATATATAGTTGATATTTTACTATATTGGCTAATGGCTAGTAATTAAACATTTGTGTAAGAGTTGACTATGAATATTATTATCGTCATAATAAGATAATAAACTGGTGAATATATAAATGAATTGTTTTGTTAGAGAATACATTGAGTTATTTTAAATGGAATAGAATTAGTACGTTTACATTATCGTAACATTTCGACAGTGAAAAAAATGTTTTCATTGTATACAATAATTTTTTAACTTTTTTAAACTTTATTTTGTGCACAGGGTGGTTTAAAAACTATGCTCACTCCCTTTTTTCTTGATGAAGTTAATAAGTACCAGGACTATATTATCATCTATAGGCTTTAACCAGTTTAACCTATATCCTATTATCCTATGGACATTTGTATTATATATATGTACATTGTACCTTTTAACATATTACAAATGTAATAATATATAAAAACAATTTTAAGCAATAAAAATTACATGATGAAGGACTTTCCTATTCAAAACAAAACGGCGTGTTTACATAAGAATATAACAAATAATTCACAAAAGACTGTATTGCTCAAATTTGTGACTTGAAATCTTTTTAACAGATCCCCGTTGAACTGTATAAATACAATTTATAATCAGAAATATAAATTTCTAGCTTGGTCTGGCTTTATTATCTAATTTTACTAAACATATTATTTTATATTAATTTTTTTTTATTAAATTAAGCCCAGCGACTAAGACCATTAGCTGTTGTAGGGGTTATGAACTGTAGTAGGGGTTGGTATGATATGTTGTTTTTAAGATGATAGTCTTGGTAGCAGCCAACGCGCCAAGCCAAGCCACATTTTTAAAATTGTATCGTAGGTGCAAATGTTGAGCTATAATTATTGTACAAAAAGCTAAAAAAAAAATACAATTTATCTAATATATTTATTATTTTTCCACTCACATGACAGGTAACACCTGACAGCATGTACAACATACCTATCGTTGACCTAATCTAGTCAAACGACCTTCGGACTTTCATCACAATTTTCACTGACACAGCATCGAACTATCCAGGCGTATCAGCTGGTTTTCAATACTATGAAATATTCAACCTTGAACAATGGATCTAGTACTTAACAGTAAACTATCTAATAGTTTATTGTACAAAAATTTGTTATTGAACTCCGCACAATGCATTGTGACTTGCGAGTGTAGCTGCAGAATCTTCACATTCAAGGCGTAATTTGATAACAAGCTACTCGTCAGTAATATATTGTGACAAATTGTAATAAGTAAAAGAAGTTAATAACTATTAAATAATTACTACCTACCTGTTTGATTACGAAAAATACGTACTAAGAAAATATTTGACTTCAAAATCAACTATTTTGATTTTGTTTGCCAAATCGTGGTCAAGATACTCAAATACAAAAGATATATTTTGCATTTTCTGGTCATATGAACGAAATTCGATATTTATACTAATCTTCATATTTTAATGGATAAGTAATGAAAGTTCAGTGTGGTTATGGACATCAGCTATTAAAGGCCAGGACTACTAGTTAAATATAATAACTATAAAATAAAAATAACAATAACCTAACCTAGAATTCCAGAAAAAAATTTCAGATGCAACTTTCTGCAGAACACCTATTTGTTTAGATATAAAAAATATCTTTTTGGTTCATAAGTTGGTTTATTCGTAGAAATGGCCTTCGTCATAAGTATTCGGGTGAAAATGTTAAATACAAAACTAGGTATAACAAATTAAGAAAAGTTAAATTCCAGGTTTCTAAACATATTTTTAATTTTTATGCAACTCAATCAAGTATCAACTATAATTTCATAATATACATTTACACGATATGTTTGATGTATCGGCGGACAATATATAAATACAAATCAACTATATAGTATATCAACAATCGTAATTATACGAGTATGTACTAGAAACTAACGAGTGGACGGAAACAACAGGGATACGGAGTGTTCTAAAAATTAGATAACATGCTTAAACCAATTAATAAAAATTACAGTGTTATCTATGTAATCTTAAATTAAATCCACATTTTAACATGATTATTAATTTGCTCTAAGTCATTTGTTAAGGTTATTATGTTATAATCATACATTCATCACACGTTTTTAAATACATCCATATAATTCAACATTTATTCATGGAGTAGAGAAAGTAGTTATTAATTTATCAAACTATATTGTATGTGAAAACTTGCAGATATGACGTGTAAAATTGTGTAATAAACAGAGAAAACAGAGAAAATAGAAAAAACTAATTATAGCATTATTTATGTATTTTTCATGAAAAGAATTTTGCACCCAGCCTATGGTGATTATCTAAAAGTACTGGAAAATGTTATCAGATGCAAACATTGAAGTTACGCTGTCCAGAGGGTCCTCGAAGCCATGCATTCGAGAATTTATCGAATCACCGTACAATTTTAAGTAAAATGTATATCATGTGTCTTACTTGACTCGTAACTGTTTATTTTAATAGATATGTACTAATATGCTGTAGTAGGATTACAGGTGACACAAAACACGTACTGATTATGGCTTGTAAAAGGATAGAAACCAAACGTCATACGCGACACGCATGACTCTATACTTAGAGACGGGTTGTTGAGAAGATGACCACTGTGCTCGCATTGAAGACCGGGCGTCCGGAAGATACGATCACGCTGGCCAGACAGTTATAGGCGACTTAAATAAAGTGTTCCGCACTTCCAAGTTCCAAGGACTATCCTTGTTGTGGACATCGAATCCCTTATTCGGACACCTGTTCTCTCTGACGGCATAGATAAGGCCCACACCCTAAACGTATGAATACAAGGTGACCTCCATATACGTGTACGCTTTATATACGTGTACACTATGCTTTGTATCGGTATTTAGAGATGACAAATGGTCAATGGGTCGTTATTTAATTAAGCTTACTTATGATGATGATGAGAGAATATTACAACCATCCAACCACATCACTCTTTATAGTATTTATTTTTACAATATGTTTCTCTAATTCATAATATATAAGCTATATAACATGAAAGGACAGCTGTTCCCCACAATGTGAAATAAATAAAAAACTAAAAATACAAATATTTTTTTTTTTATAATATTGATTAACAATACTATGTGTATACATATTTTAATTTTACATTTTGTTTAAAATAATTTAACAATCTACCTTGAGAAAATTGATAAGGCAAATGCATAGTATTTTTTTTATATTATAATATTTACATTTCATAAGATGAGCAGCTAAGAACTTTATCTATTAAAAATAACTCGTTTTGGTAACTGTTTTTATTTTGTTGAATAGAATACCAAATTGACAACGGTTTCTTCAAAATAAAAATGTTATACAAATCCAAAACAATTGCAGCAAGATATAAACAATTAGAACCATAAAAATCTGATGCAGCCATAACAACCTAAAACATTTACATCAATAATATTAAAAAAAACTATAAATCAAAATCCAGGGAGAGGAAAATCTGAAACCACAGTCCACAACATCGTACATTTGATTTTTTGACAATGCCATTTCTACGTTGTTTAGGTCTTCATGAAGTATATGTTTCCTGATCCCACAGTAATAGCTTTTTATGTAAGGTTTCCAATCGAATTCCTGTAAGCTGAACCGAAACGTTTCTCGATCATCTTGACTTAATGACAACCACAATTCTCTTGTATTGCCATTGTCAAATGTCCATTGTCTTGTAGAAAACTCATAAAGTAAATCAATCATATTTTCTGTTTTCGCATACAATCTCAACATTCTAAACAAAAATAAATCATTTGATACTCGTAATAATCATTTCCATAATCGTTTCCATAAATGTTAAGTACCTAAGCAATTTCGTAATATTAATAAATTATTGAATAATAAATAGTGACAAATAGTTTATTTCGAAAAATACATTTTTGAATAATAACAAAATAATAGGCAGAGGATAAATATAGTTATTATATCCAATAACTAGGGTTCGAGACTTCTTGCATTTGCATGTTTTTTTGTAGTGGTCGTAGTCTATTCTAAGTGAGTTATAAATGTGTAATATGAAATGACGAAATTAAATACTAAGTTTGAATTTGCATATTTCGTCATATTTTAAGAAAAGCGCATATTTGAGTAATTTTTAACATATTTGGGCATATTTCACATTTTTATATTTTTATAAACTTAAAATTGTCGGGAAAAATCATAATTGGATGGTCTTAGTCTGTCGTATCTAATACGTACGTCCGTTTACGATGATAGTCTCTTTATAGCTTAATAATCAACCTTTTTATCGACAATTGTATAGTTAACCTAATGAATCCTAGGTTGATACAGAAAGAGATGAGTAACCCGTGTAAAAATTATTTTTATTATGTTAAGTACGTACTTAATTTTTAAATTTTTATTCTTATAATAATAATTTATAATATATCTTACGTTTTTTAAAAACAAAATAAAAAATTAGTTGCATATTTTAAAGCATATTTTGACGATTTTGACTGCATATTTCGATAATTTTAAGTGCAAGAAGTCCCGAACCCTACCAATAACCTATCTCATCAAAATGTTAACTTAAATTCTTATGAAACAAAATAAATAAAATGTATTATAGTAATTTTATATTTCCGTGAAATAAACTTACGAGGAACATTATATTAAATTATCAACGTTTATACACTTAAACAAAAATTTAATCATGCACATAAATAAAATAAAAACCAAAAATGTAAAATCTTTATAAATATCGCAAAAGTAACCAAAATGTTTTGGAAATTATTATACGTTTAGTAAATCCTAATATTTGATATAAATTTCAAGTCGGCGATATTATAGTTTTAAATTACAAAAAAATAAACATTGAAATAAACTAAATATTTTATACATTTTAGATTCCGAGCGTTTTTTTTTGTCTATGTACATGATGAGTAGTCATTTTCGATAGGAAAGTGAATCTAATTGGTGTTTCGAGAGATTAAAATTTAAAATTACCAGTAGTTTTTAAAGGGCCGATCAAAAAAAAAATAATAAATAAGACATTTTTACACAAAATCAATTTTCGATGAAATCGATTTTGGTTTTTGGTGCAACTTAAAAAAAAAATACCGTCAATACATACAATTTTAAAAATATGAATATAAATACTGAATGTTTATATTAGAATAATTGTCTATACATAATTCAATTTTTTAAATATTTTGACTCATATTGAGCTATTTATAGGTATATTAAATTATCAAAGTAATCATAACTTACTTGGGAGATTTACCAAATAAAATCAATAACAAGTCCATAAATGCGCCTGGTATTTGGTGTAAGAAAAATCTCAGTATACTTCCGACCATTAAATTTGTGTAGAAAATATAAAAAGCATACCATATCGATTGCAAAGGAGGAGCTACATAATATTGATCGTGCATTTCTCTGATGTATCTATGCCATGTCAAAGGGCTTTCGACACACGAAACGTAATTATACACTTTCGGCACCTTGTTCATTCCACTGGACTGTTTGTGCCTGGAAATTATCAAAATAATTTACTGTTTAAGAGCTATGTGTATGCGCAATGAATATTTTTTATATCACTGCACACCTGTTAACTGTATCCCACATGACGCTAATCAATGCGTTTACGGTGTAATCTGCAGGGATAATATCTGTTATATTGCTACCGATGTTTGGTACCGTCCTCAAAAATCCAACCATGACTCCGGTAACCAGACCGGTTGGTCCGTTCATATTATCCAACCAGCCAGGTTCCGGTTCAGATTTCGTGCATCCGACTATAATAATATTAAGTTGTTTTTAAATTTCTCAAGATTCTATAATTAAAGACAATAATTTATTACATTTAATATCTTTATCCAAATAAAAAAGTTACTAAATCAGAAGGGCCTATTATATATTTTTCATCCTTAAAAATTAACTTTATTATTCTTACTAATCGATGGACGAAATATTGATATCGGCAAGTGATCTCCGTTTGTTTGTATCATATTTTCCGTGACTGCTTTTGTGAAAGTGTAAGTGTTGGGCCAATCCTCTATAATTCTATTGTTTGTGAATATAATTTTATAAAAATAGTAAAATGTTATTATTTATCAATCGAAAAATGCATAGTAATATTTACTTAGTAGTCGATTTCTCGTCAAAAAATCCATTTTTCAATTCTTTAGACGTGACTGGAACGTTATAGAATTCTTCTTTGATTTCACTCCTAGGGCAGTGCGAGTAAGCTGTTGAAACGTGCACAAAACCCTGTAAAGTATGTACTCGTTTTTTAAAGATATTTTATACAACATCCCTTTTAAAATATTCTAAAGTAAAAATTGAAAAAGATATGTTAGTACATCTAATAGTCTAATTAAATAAATACGCAAAAATGTTGGTGTCGGTACTTCTAAAATACAACCAATCTAAGTAATCTAAATATATTTTCTATTTATATCGATCTAATAATCTTAATCATAACTACGTATCCTGCGAAGAGTTTATTATACCCTTTGTGGTTTTCAAAAATCACTGTTATTAGTCACAGGTATTAAATAAATATTTTAGAGATTTGTATTACAGTTCTGGTTACACTATTTTCTTCATAACAGAAATACTCATAATACATTATAATAATAAAAAAAAAATACAATCAAATTATTTTAAAAAAGTGAAACGTTATGCGAAGTTGGCAACTTTCTCATAAGAAAAGTGATCCCAATTTACCATAATTAAATGACTTTTATGAATAGAAACATAGTCCCATTTGTATACGTACTTTCAAACTGAATATAAAAACATGTTTTGAGTTATGTATTGCATACTAAACAAAGATCACAGAGTATTAGCAGAGTACTACCTATACAATATTATGCTGTTATTATTTATTAGATAACTATTTATTAGTTATTACTTGTTAGTTATTAGTTATTAGTTATAACCTTGAGATTCTTCATTTGAGATGCTAATGTCAACACGTGTTCAGTGCCTTGGACGTTTATTTTCGACGCCAAATCAAGAGGTTCGTTGAATTTAATCGTAGCGGCGCAATGAAAAACAAAATTAACATTATCTTTCAACCACTCTCGGTCTGACGATGATAGACCCATCAATGAATCTTCTAAATGTCCATCGATGACCTTGATTGACTCTATAAAATCTGGTTTTTCAGTACGAAGTCGGTCAAATAGCTGAGAAATATAAATATTTAAATATTTTTTAGCGGATAAGGTATAAGTGCTCAAATATACATGTATTATATTTTATATTATATTGGTTACAAAAAATAAAATAGTTTACATGATAATAATTGAAAATAATTTTATTCGAATGATTTTCATTGTAACTGAAAAACGAATAACCACAGATACTTGAAATTTTCACAGAATGTTCATTTTAAATACATGATTACAATAATATTTTCAAATATTTTGACTTGTTTTGAGATATTTATAGACATTTGATATTTGTGTAAATAATACATTTCTATAAATATCAATAAACAAATTTCAGCTGGATGAAAATCCTTTAAAATGCTTACAAGGTTCCTCATAAATAGTTATGTAAACAATTAAAAATAAACATTGAAACAATTTTTTTCAAAGCATTTTTAATGATTTAATACTCAAATTTTGACAAAATTCATCAAAATCATGAAAATGCGCAAATTATTTTGTAATTAAAAGTTAAATTTGTACAACAAAAGATTGACAACTTAAAACAAGTTTTCTCGTAATTATTAAACTGTATAGTGTAACCAAAACATCTGAAAATTATATAAACAGTCTCTTTCAATAGATATTTAAATTAAAATTTGGACGAAATTAGATATTTAAAATGGGATGGTATTTTTAATTTAAAAATATTATTATTATATAGGCTGATAAACCGTCTTCGCTCAGAATAGTTTTGAGTAGGTATACGATGATTTTATACCATTTAATTCAAATTAAACACATCCATTACACTATTACATTAACTCCCTAGACATGTTATGTATACAGCAAAACGGTAAGCCCACTTGCCCACTTGCCCACTTGCCCACTTTTTTTTATTTATATATATTGTTGCCAAGGTTAGTACCGAATTGGTTCCCGAGCCCCAACCCCACGGCCCACATGCCGAGTTGGTTCCAGTTTGAAAATGGTGTTTTATTAACGTAAGCCGAATTGGTTTCCGTTTAATTTCTCACATTTTCCGGGCGATTGTAAACTCTCCGGAGTCTACAATACTTTAGTACTATTAAGCTAGGCGAGTATGGGGCATTATTCGTATTACGCAGTTGGTAATATTGAAAACTTGGTTGAGCCATTATAGTCAATATCGTTTTATATATTTAAATTAAAAATAGGTTGACGCCTGACTTAAAATAATTAACTTAAACATTTAAATTACAAATACAGGTTAACGGTAGTACAATTGATAATAAGTATTTAAAATGATAATCATAATCTCTGCAGTGAAACCAATTCATAGTGTAACAATAACATTTAAAACAACTCAGGAGAGTTTACACATTTACTATTCAGGTAAACATAATAATGACCCGGCATAGTTTACCATCAGGATAGTTTACTAGTTTTAAAAATCGGGAGAGTATATCACCACCCCATTTTCTTTCTCAATTGTACAAGCTTATGATTGTCAACTTAAAAGTAGGCTTGGTTAAAAATGAAATAAAATAGAATATATAAAATTTAAAATGGTTGATTTAAAAGTCAACAAGTCATCACTTAAGTATACAATAGAAAAATAATAAAATATAATATATACAATTTTAAATCAGTGATTCGCAAATTGGATGCAAACTTCTTCAAATATTATTCAATTCGAGTAAGTTTCTCATTAATTAGCTCATCCATATAGTTTTCCAAATATTGCTTACTTACTTCCTGTTTAGTGTTTACTGATAACTTATCATTCTTTTATCTTTGAATATTCTCAAATATACAAAAAAAATGTTGCCATTAATTTACCTATTTCGTGATTTGTAAGATTTCGAACCCCCATCTGACTACATGGACTCAAAAAAATATGCAAAAAAATATAATTCCGGCCCCTACTGATAAGTTTCCATGCATTATTGCTTAAAAATTTAATATAACGCCGGTAAAACAATTTATTGGCATTTTATTGTACCTATATACTATAGAGTGTAGGCCCATTTATATTATGTACCATTTATACATTCATACGATTAACTATTGCAATAGAATACTTTAAAATGAAAACTGTACAGAGAACAAACGGAAATTAATTCAGTTACTCCCGTTGCCAAAAGTTCCAAAAAAATATATTTATTATGATGCATAAGATTTATGATCCGAATTTTAATTCAAAATAATCCAAAAATCTGTCCAGTTTACATTTAACGGAGTTTAATGTGGGGAAACATTTAATTTGTCACGAGCAACTCTGAGTAAGAATAGGATCAGCTAGTACTTATTATATTATATTATAGTATATTATTATACTAGATGAATAATAGTTTTTAAGTAGCAAATAGTTACTTATTTTATTAAATTATAAATATAACATAAAAAAATAAAACCGGAAATGTTACAACATCCATGCTAGGATAATGTATTGCATCGCATGTCTTAAATTATTGTAAATTTAATGTGTATACTAACGCATATTATAAACTTATTTTTTAAATTACATATAAGAGTATAAAACTGAATTGCAATATAATAATATACAATATTTATTCACACCAAAATAAATCCTTTAAAAAAAGATTTAATAAATGTATTAATTAAATGTCCATTTAATAAATGTACTTAGTTAAACTTTGGCAACTAGGCTCACGGTCTCCAGTACTATCTTAACTTAACAAGTTAAAAATATATTCAACTTCCTCAGCCATGATACTTAAAATTACGTATAAATTATTTAAACTAAATAAATTGAATAACAATGCAATTAATTAAATTTATGTTTGAACGTATAAAGTAATTATTATAATCATCATCAAAATGTACGTGCGTAACAAGTATTATATACTTAAAATATTTGAAACCTATTTATAGGTACCTATTTTAAATAAAAATACTTACAGCTTGCTTATATATTTTCGTAACCCGTTGACTGGCGCTTAACCCTTTCTTATTTCTGACTAAAAGAGCGATACTGCCCACTGAACAAGACCTCAATAATTTTTCTGTGAGTATTTTCCCCAAAAACCCAGTACCTCCAGTGATGAAAACCGTCCCATTTCTGAACGATTCGACTATACCCGTCTCCATTTCCTGCAATGTGTTGATCCAAATCGATTTTTCCGTATAAAGTGAATAGTCCCTGAATACTGGGCAGCAAAATCTAATCCTGTTGCCTTATAATCTACTATTTACATGACACATGTCTTGTACCATCGAATTCAAACGAATATAAACGTTCAAATAGTCGTCATCATCTTTTATATGCATGCTTAATAACGGGACTAGTACAGTAACAACTTCCTATCAAGATTCACTTCATGTAATATATGTCCCCTTCTCAAAATATAGACTCGCTTACAACACGATAAGAACGAAAAATATACCTTCCGCATAAACTTATTTACCCTAATTCCTATTAATAACCTCATTCCGTTGTTGTAGTGCGATCCGTTTACGTGCATTTTGCACTCCCGATGTTCTTACCAATGCGCATTTCAAATGTGAATAACTAAACAGTTTTAGGTAAACCGAATTGAAATTGAACTGAATTAACGACCGTTTACATGCATTCAACTTCGGGAGTTAACTAATTCGAATTGAGTTAAATCGGTTTTAGCTGTGCATGTAACCGAAGTAAATAATATCAATAGGCGTAAACTAGTTTGGCGGTGGGCGAAGTATTTAGTTAATTAATTAGAAACATTTTTATAGGCATTTTTAAAATGATAAAGTAAGTATTATTTTATGAAAAAAAGTATAATATTATAACTATAGAAGAAAAAATGTATGGATTAATCAAAAATTCTTAATCGTTGCCATTTGAATTCAATTTTTTCTCATGATTCTCGAGTAAAAACAAAACTAAAGTGAAACTTTGAGATGAAGAGATGAAGATATTTTAGACACTTGTAGCGCCAAACAGTACTGACTAAAATGATTTAAAGGCAGAACCAAAACTATGTAGGAAGTGTTCATCAACTATTATTACTGAACATTTTGAAGCTCATTTAAATGTTTATTTATAAAAGACTCAACTGGCTCATTTCACATTTGACATTACATAATACGGTATTCATACAATTTTCCTATCTATTCGAATGAGTTCTACTCAGAGTGAACATTTGAGTTTACATCTCTTCGTCGCCTCAAAACATTTAAGAGAAACATGACTATTTTATATATTAAAAAAAAACTTCGATTGACGTAGACATTTAAATTCAAATTTAAATATTAGAATGTTGAAATGTTGTATTAGTTATAACTTGTTCATATTATTATTAATACAATCATTATTCAAATTTAATTGTTAAATTAAATTTATTACCTATGATATATATAATAATTTTACTATATATTATAATATATTTATATGATGTACTAAAGAATCCTCAAATAGGTATTTAAAAATATGCACTTATTTAAATATAACCTAAAAAAAAATTACCCTCCTATATACACATGAAAGTACATTTTTTCTTTAAATAATTGATAAATGTAATATTATTTATTAAGTGAGTACATTAGTCAAATATGTGCTAAAAATAAAAATACACACTAAACAATTTTTTCTTGAAAAAGCTCAAAGGGGTCAAAATATTATTAAATTTTATCAAATATAGAAAATGTTAAAATAAACAAATACTGCTAATTTCAAGTATCGATGTTATTTTTTTTTGAATAAGAACTAAATAAGAAAATTGTATTGAAAGAATTTGAATTTCAAACGCTCAAAAATTTTTTTATTATCTATCCAGTAGACATTTTTTTTTTTTTTGAAAAAGGTAAATAAACTTAGATACATGACATTTTCACTGGATAAATATATTAGCATTTTCTATACATCATAAAACTTTCAAAATATTTTTACTCAATTTGAGCTATACCTATATATTTAAATGTTAAATGTTAATTTAATTTTTTTTCTAAATGTTCGATTATCATCTATTTTTTTAAAAAAAATAATTTCGAAAAAAAATTGTTTGTTCTATGAACATTTAAAAAAAATGTTGAGATTAAACTAACAATATTTTTTATGAGCATCTGACTTTCAAAATTTGATAAAATACGTAAAAATCAAGAAAGTTTTCAAATTATTTTAAGTTAGAAATTCATAAAAAATTGTCTTTTTATATTTAAGTTTATAAAATTTAATATAAGATTCCTCATAAATCTACCTATCTTAATCAAAACAAAAATGTCTACTGGAGATTCAAATTAAAAAGTTGTATATGATTTTTTGAAGTTCAAATGTTCACAACATTGGATATTCACTCGATTTTTTATGGAACGAATTTCCTGGTTTCTTATTTTTTACTGTAATTAAAAAAAAAACTGTAGATACTTAAGATTCACACCAAATGATTATTTTATCTTTCCATATACTTGATACAATTTTCAAAATATTTTGAACATTTTAAATTTTAAATTTTTTACTTTTATTTTCTTAAATGTTAATAAAATTGTATTTGTTGAGTGAAAATGTGATCGAAGGCTCCTAATACATTGTTTCTAATGCCAGTTAACAAATATTAAAAAAAATTGGCATTTTTTAAAACATTTTATTTTTAAAATGTTCAACTTTTATGGCTAAGAGTTAAACATTTCAAACAAGGTTGCATGTAAGTAGTTAATTCTGTTAATCTGTAAATTTAAAAAATATATTACCATAGCTTTTTATAGTTATTTTATGTTCAAATGTAGAAAAAATTTTATTTTAAAGAACCACGTATAATGATTTAAGTTATTTTGTTAAAATTTAAAAATATTATTCATGGGTACCTACTTGAAACTTTTAGAGTATATTATTATAGTTTAAATACACAATGACTTTTCAAATCCAATTTTTTTGGCAAAAATGTACTTAACCTCCTGTAGTACTAATGCTTAATAGTAAAATGAATTACATTAATCACCATATCATCAAACATACTAAGGTAATATTAAAGGCTGACAGTCTTCGCTCAGAATCGTTTTTCGTATACAACGATTTTGTATCATTGAATTCAAATTTAACAACCATCCATTACAGGTCCCACTTGTAAACTGTCGTACCTACAACAGAGCGACATCCACTTACCCGCTTTTTTAAATTGTTGTTCTTTTTTTCTACTGTATTTTTTACCGTACGTTGCCAGAAAACCAGAATACTTTCCAAGTCATTCAACCGAAATGTTTTGTTTTGTCGTAAAAATTGCATTCAATGGTTGGTACTGAAGGTAACTTGCCATTCCGTCAGAAACTCAGAACAGTATACTTGTACTATCATTAGTCACGGCCTGCAGGATGGTAAATAATAACTGACCTATGTAATATGAGTCATAGGGAAATTCCAAATATTAATGAACTTACTTTAAATATACGCATTTCTTCGATGAAAAACCGGAAAGTCTTAGAAAACCGGCTAAATGTTGAATTAACTGTATCCAATATTCGATATCTATTTTAGGCGGTGTGTAAAATCATGAAGCTTGTGGTATTACATTATAATATTTTAACACGTATTCGGTTATTCCGCATAACGGGTTTTGATAACTTATTAGCCATGATAAATTAAATTAAATTTATCATGTTATTAGCCATACTATACCTAGGCTGCTGGAATTGCCTGTAGCAACAAAATGTAATAAAAATAATTCATCGATACAGCGTGATTCTTTTAATGATAAACAATCATTTTCTCTAAAAGTATTAACGTTTTTGCATTTTACAGTTTTTTTAGTAAATATGAAGTCATTACAAAACCATTGGGTAGTTACTAGTCCCTAATGTATCCAAAACCGGTTGATACCGAGTTGCGGTTGAGATTATAACAGGTAAAAAAAAAAATTCGAGTTGCGGTCGGGATCAAAACAGGTAAAATATCAAAATAAATAAAAATCCTAGTTGCGGTAAAAAAATATGATTAATAATTATTATGTTTTAAATATTGACAAAGTTACATATTATTATGCTAAATACAAAAATTAAACGATCAATACGTTACGTCAAAATACAAATTTATAGTTAGTTAGTTGTGTTAGTTACTAATATTTGTATGATACACATTTCACAATTTTTATTAGTGCAACTCCAAGACATTTCTCCTGTCTTAAGAAGACGGTACTCTCTAAATTTAAAATTATTTAATACAAGCAAAATTTTCCCTTTTTCACTATACATTACAGATAGTTGTGGCATTTTAACGTGTTGATACAAAAACGTCTTGCAATAGACTAAACGATATAACGTTGACTTACGTTGACGTACGATAACATTGTGGATAAAGCTGGCGCCTCGTATCATAATAATTGGTGTAATTATACGTGAAAATAATAAATTACAAAATTTTGCTAAAAAAGGATACTGATATAGGTACTAAATACTGCTTCACCGTTAGATCGTGAAATTATTGGCGTGAAAATCGGATAAGAGCATCGGATAATCGATAACCGGATACTGACCGCAATTAAGACGTTAATTTAAGCTTCAATATTATTAAGACCGCAATTCGTCTATTGCGACCGCAACTCGGACAATACCCCAAAACCATGTCTACAGTAGGTAATTGTGGTAACTCATTACTCAGGTAAATGTAACCAAATGTAAATATAGAGTGATAAATGGTAAGAACCACAAACAGCTGATGCAACTACAATAACCTGAAACAATAAACTAGATACATCAATATTAATGCATAATATTAATATCATACAAACTATAATTCGAAAATCGAAAGCCGATAAGAGGAAGCTGCAGGTAATCACAATATCGTACTGTCGATTTTTTTACATTACTTCTTCGACGTTGCTTAGGTCTACGTGTACATAGGAGTAGTATTTTTAAAACAAAGGCTACTCTGCTGTCGGTTAAACAGGAAAAAAAAGGTACATCTCTTCTGATCCAGTAATAATAGCTTTTTATACAAATTTCCAATCAAATTCCTGTAAGCTAAACCAAAACGTTTCTCAATCATCTTGACTTAGTGACAACCACAATTCTCTTGAATTGATATTGTCAAATTTCCACTGTCTTGTAGAAAAAACATAAAGAATAGATCGGTCATATTTTCTGTTTTCACATACATACTCAAAATAAAAATACATTTGATATTAATCATTTCCATAAGCTAATATGTTAAGTACCTAAGAAATTTCCTGATATTATTAAATTGTTGAATAGTTACTCAGTATAGTTTTTATCAAAAAACACATTTAAAATAATTTAAAAACACAACAAAACAACAGGTTGAGGATTTATAATTGTTCTACATTCCAATATTCAATGTTGTCAAAATTTAAACTCTGAATTCTATTTCAAAAAAATTGTTTCAATGTACACAAGAAATTTTATATTTCTGGTAAGAAAAACTTACAAAAATAAAAGGACAAACAAAAATTTAATCATGTATAAATTTAAAAAAAATTATTTATGTAGAATATCTAATAATAGCACGAAATATTTTTAAATTATTAAATATTTGGTAAATCCTAAGATTTGAAAAAAAATTTAAGTCAACGGTATTAAATAATAATATATTAGTAAAAAAATTAGTAAAAAAAAAAACAATTCAGTTTAGTCGAAAATTATTTTTTCCAGATTTTATAAAACTACTGGAAACTACTGGGAATTTTGAATTTTCCCTTTTGACCTCCAAAAACTACAGACTAGATTCAAAATATAATAAAATCCGAAAAATATGCAGGTATAGTTATTTATATAGATAAAAAAAGTGTTCAAATATTGTTTAGAATTTTTGGTGTCAGTTATTCATCTATCTAATATATTTATCTTAAAAAGAAGCATTTTTATGAATTCCTAGCTCAAAATGATTTGCATATTTTCGTGATTTAGACTCATTTTGTCGAACTTCAGAAATGTATAAGCACCAGGTGGGTGTATGCATACTGCATATTTTGAGTTTTTAAATTTGGCAACCCTACTTAGGACTGGCGAGAGTCAACAGCCTACTACATTATATGACCAGGGACACTACAATTCTAAATACGGCCCTGAGCGCAATCACCATTATTCCAAATCAAAAACATATACTAAAAATAGAACACAAGGGGCAACGCACAGAAAGTGAAGATGATGTGTTTAGCGTTTGTATTTTTTTCTTCTAAATCAATACTACAAAAGAACCTAATTAGTAATTAAACTATCACTATGTAAAGATGAACGAAGTACCCATATTTTAATCATGATTTATAGCTTTAATCGTGGTTTTAATATATTTTTGATAATTATGGTTATAACAAGACGTCTTATATGCGTCAAGCCGGTTGTGATATCAAAAACGATGATAAGGCTTATCAAAAATATTTTAGTTGACACGTGAGAATGTTTCGCTTACGCTAGCTTAGCTGCAGCTTTTGCCAGCTACACACTGTTATACTCTATGATAACGATTTATAATAATAATATAATATGTGTTCGGTAACATCATATAATTATTACTTATTATTCTAGTTTCATTTATTACTGTATAAGTATATACATATACTTTATTTTAAACAAATATAGATTTAAGACGAATAATCGTATTATTAATATGTGGAAAAAATGTATAAAAACTGTAAAAACTCACGGAACGCTGGAAAACATCAAGTCGTACTTGTTCGATCCTTCGTACACATCCTCGATCAAATGGATAGTCATTACCATCGAATTTGTGCTAAACTTGTATATTATACAAACGGTCAAGTACACAGAAATTGACTGGAAGGCGTACATGCAAGAAGTAGAAGGTGTCGTGGTAAATGGTACATTTGATTACGGAAAACTGAAAGGAGACACTGGACCATTGGTGTATCCAGCCGGGTTTGTGTATGTATTCTCCATGCTGTATTACTTGACCGCATTTGGTAAGAACATCAGAGTCGGCCAATACATATTCATGTTACTATATTTGGTCAACATATACTTGGTGTTCAAAATACACGAACGCAGTAAAAAAGTACCACCGTTTGTTATGTTACTACAGTGCTTTTCGTCATATCGTATCCATTCAATATACGTATTACGACTATTCAACGATCCAATCGCCGTGATACTACTCTACTTATCCGTTTACATGTTTCTAAAGAACAAATGGGTGGTTGGCAGTATAGTCTACAGTTTGGCTGTTTCGATCAAAATGAACATCCTACTCTATTCCCCTGTACTGCTAATAGCATATATCACAAAATTTGGCATCCGAGGAACAATCAAACACATTACTTATTGCGCTCTAGTACAGTTACTGTTGGGCTTGCCATTTTTAATCAATAATCCTATAAATTATGTTCAGGGTGCATTTGATATATCTAGAGTATTTGTGTATAAATGGTCGGTGAATTGGAAATTCGTCCCACCCAACATTTTTGTGAGTGGATATTTTCATACTCTTTTACTGGCCATACACCTCACAGTGTTGTTATGTTTTACTGCCACTTGGATAAAATATTTGAACTCCTATGCCAAAATGAAACAAATTGAACACGACTTAAAACCTCAGCTGAAGAAGAAGAAAATCAACATCAACATGGATATCAGCGCAAATTTATTTTTGTTGCCTATGTTTTCAGCCAATTTTATCGGAATAATGTTCAGCCGCTCATTACACTATCAATTTTATGTATGGTATTACCATACCTTGCCGTTTCTATTATGGTCAACACCTTACGGAAATAAGTTCAGACTAATTGTACTGGGCCTCATAGAAATATGTTGGAATACATTTCCTGCAACAGCATTTAGCAGTGCTCTACTACATGTTTGCCATTGTATTATTCTGTATGGATTACATAGGTACAGGTATAGATATGGATCTATAAAAAAAAATAGGTAGTGAAATTATATTATATTTCAATATTACAATTGTAAACCAATAATTTTATTTTTCATTGCATTCTAATTTAAGCTTCCCTTTTTTTGTGTAGTATTGAATCCGATTTTCTAAACTCGCTGAAAAAGAAAAAAAATTGTTCTCAATTATGTTTAGTAGTTATTGGGGTAGTTATGCTTGTACACTAAATTGAATAAACCTTATTACATCTAGATACATTTTTATAATAATACACATTTTTAATTCTTTTCACACCAAACATATCATATAATTAATAATTATTAATTATATATTTTAATATTCTTTCACCTTTATTACCATCTATATATACTAACATTACATGAATATTACACTAATATTCAACTTAATGTAAAAAAATAAACTGCTGAATATACTTTAGTCTGTTTGTATTAATTGCAAACCATGATCCAAGATTTAACTAAAATAAAATAGTTCCTGTGCACAGCTATTGACTGAGTATTTAATAAAATTGACTGATAATGTTAAGAGCAAAATTTTGAGGAAAATGTATTTAATTGTCATTGAATTAGTATTTAAAAATGAATGTTATTATTTTAAAACACTTAGTTAATATTATATAATATAGTATATTAGTTCATTACCACTAGCCGGTCTCTTCAGAAGTGGTTGATAAATTTTGGATTTGACACCTTGTATTAACCATATGCTTTGATTGTTAACCTTGTTTTCTGCTAAGGTTTCAGTGTTTTTTAACATTTCTCCCAACATTGTAGCTCTGTAAGTTATTTTAATAAACAAATTTGATTTCAAAATAAATTTGATATTTGTTGTATTAATTATATTATTATTTTAATAGGTATCATGAACTTAAAGTGTTTGATTAAGAATCTATACACAAAATATTTAAGAGTTTTTAATTAAAAAATACTTGATCATGTGTTCAGCCCATGAACATTGTAAACTAGTAATGACTTCTGATATAGACTCATCATCAATAACCCAATTGACATTTTCAAATTGGCAATCAAATAAATTTAATGGTAGGTCACTAGCTAAACAATATTGAGGTTTCCTAAACATATAATCATTGTCATTGAGTGTTTAAAAAAATAATACTCAACTTAGTACCTTGGACAATTTTCAATGTTCAATAAGTCTTTAAATATATTTGGGTTTTCTTTACGACATCCGACTAATATAAGTACTGATACTATACACCGGATTTGGTGCCAAAGAAATGCTTTACCCACAATGGTAAGTTCACACATGTCATAATCTCTATTTGTTGAAAATTGATTATTTTCAGAGCATATTTTAATATCAGCACTTGTAATCCTTCTGTAAAATTGTACAACACCATTTGCAACATCCATTTTGCACAAGTTGCGAAAATCATGTGTTCCGACTACTTGTTGTATAGCTTGATTCATCAACTATAAAAAAATATTTAAAAAATTAGTTTTTACTACCAAAAATATAAAAAGAAAATATTTATCAGCAAAAGTACAAACATCCACATCAAGATCACCTCGTGGAAACCAGTACTTATATGTTCTAGACCCACAATCAAACCGAGCACTGAAATCATCTTTCACTGGACCCCAGGCCACTACCCGTATATCTTTTGGTAATAATCTATTGAGCATTTTACAATAGGGTAATTCTTCGCTACCGTCGCCATTACTTCTTACAGTCAAAGAAATCACCTGCCAAATTAAAAAGACATATTACCAAAAAATAAAGCAATTTTGTAATAGAACAGTTGTCTGGCTCTTATTATTTCTTAGTTTATCTAATGCAAATTTAATTTAGATAATAAACAAAATAAATATATATGTATTTTTACCTGACTAAAAGAACTAACACCTTTATCAGTTCTTCCACAACGATGGTAATTTGAGGTTTGCCGACTCTCTATTAAACAACATATGGTGAGTGCACGAAATAATTCAAATTCAATAGTCTTTTCGGAAACATCTTGAGTAGCAAATCCATGATAATCCCATCCTAAGTATAATAACTTAAATACTACATGTCTTTTATGATACCTACAGGTAAAAAATATAAATTTATGATGCATAAAATTTAATAAAAAAACTTACATTTAATTAAACCCTTCAACTGTTATTGTGTAAAAGTAACAATTACTTAGTATAAGATATAGGATTTTAAAATGTCAAAATTGTAACAATATATCTTGGAACAGCCTCTATTGATATTTCTAACTACAAAAAGTTAAGACTTATCAAAACTTCAATAAATAAAATAGTTTTGTAACATTTTCTATTAAATTAAAGTATTTATATAATTGAATTAAGGCCTTTTACCAAGTTTGTCTAAGTAAAATACAAATTATGATAGTTAAGTATATGTTTAAAAAAAATGTTTGTATCAACACGATAAGTACTTAAAATTCTAATTAACATAAAATATTTTATTACTTTGAGAAATCAATAGTTCTTTTGGGTTTTGTTATTTTTCTACCCAGCTTCTTACGATTCTGCTCTTTAAGGTCTAAGATTATACTAATAAGTTCCTGCAATTAAAATGTATATATAGTAATGTACAATTTATCTACTAGCTTCAATTATTGTTACATGTAAATGAAAGTAGGTACCAAAAAAAGAGTTGTTTAAGTAAATTACCTCTTTAGTTCGATGATTAAGATTTTCAAGATCATAATTACCAGAATCAACCTCAAGTGACATTTTGCATAACTTTTCTTATGTTTAAGACTATAAACATTTAAACTATTAGGATGAAATAGACCTGACTAACTTATTAAAATTCATACGAATTAAATATCAATGAAATAACAAAACAAATTTTGTTTCATTTTTGAATTCACTGATTATGTCGCTATGTCAGTAAAGATAATTCGTTGATAACTGATAAGCCACTTCTTAGTTCTTAACAAGGTGATAACCGTTATTCTACATCGTGGCCACGGTCTTAGAAGATCTAAGACTGTGATCACGGCTATCTATAGCTGTGGTAGCCGGTAGGTACCTACGAATAATGTTCTAGCCGTTCTAGGCATTTTCTACCTTTTACTAAGAATTCTACTTCATAATAGTGTTTCATCTATTCAGTATTCTTGTCTATAATTCAGCTCAAAAACTGTAGACACATTTATACATTATATATAATTAAGTATTTCATATTATTATCTAGTGAATTTACTGGTATTTTACTGAGCAATTAATTTCTTAACAAATAATATTTTTTTATTATAATTCAACAAATTTGTCTGGGTTTTAACCAAAAAGCAATAGGTAATAATATCTAATAACAAAATATTAAAATGAACAGTATAAGATACTTATATACAATTCAAATAGGTAGCAATTATCTTAGTTAACAACATATAGATAAGTAAGTAGGAAATAAAATAATTTATCATTAAAAAATATAGGTAATTGATATTTTCATTACTTACTGGTGGCAAGACATCTAGTATTGCATTTACTGAAAACATTAGGTACAATAAAACAATCATTTTTTTACTGAATTTTGAAATTTTTAGTTTCTAAAAGAATTTTTTTTTGACACTCTTTCAAATGGACCATTTTCACCACTATGTTAGATTCTGAGTAGATTCTTATGTAAATCTTTTTTTATTTTTTAATCTAGGATGTGAATAAAAATAATGTTATGCATTTCTAGCACAAAATAATTTGTAAATGTTCATGAATCTAACTTTAGATGCTCATAAACTTTTTTTTAATAACCACTTACAACTTATGAGGTAGGTACTTTGTATAACATTTTCAAGATTTTTGACCTGGCAAAAAAATGTGTATCGACAATAATTAACTAAAAATTGAAATTTCTCATTCCTATAAATGGCTCAAAAAGATACAAAATATTTTGAAAGTTTTATCATATTTTGTAGAAAATTATCATACAAACATTTGGTGGAAATTTAAAGTATCTATTAGGTACACGGATCTTTGAATTGCACGAAAAAACAAAATCGTTTTTTGTCAAAAACTAGTTTTGCTTAAAAATTTTTCTTAGTATTTTTATTTTTTATTTTTACCTACGCTTTTGAAAACTTCTGGGAATTTCAATTTTAACTTATTCAAATACACTTGCTGTCTTGCTAGATCCTTTTTTTGTACCAGAAAAGTTACTGAAATTGAAAATCGAAGCATTATTTAGATCACTTATCGTGTAAACATACACAAATTTAAAAAACACATCATTGTAAAATCAATAGTCAATAGGTACCTAAGTACATATATATTATATTATTATGATTTATGGCCATTAGGTCTTTGTTTATAGCACATTTAATATTTTCCACAGATGACCGCGGCCATAGACCCACACACTACCGTGTTATTAGCACTTCACGTGGACCAGGAGCACGATGTTGATTTTATCTTAATTTTTAGGAACATGAACGATATTATACCACGACTTACGAGTCATCTATAATGGCGGCCCGCGGACAAGAAAAAAAAAGAAAACCGATAATATTATATAGGTGCGTAAATACTTTCTAGTGTTATAATTTTTCTTCATTAGTTTTTACCAGTCTGCAATTTTGATGAACCACTCAGCACGATTCACGAACAATTACCAGATTTCTAATGTGGCCCTACAAAAATATTAATAATTGGTATCTGGTCACCCCTGTAGGTAGTTATAGTAGTGACGTAGTGTAGACGTGTAATAGTGTCTATGGTTGTTTAGTTGTGTTATTTTATTTCTTGATAGGTAGTAGCAAAGATTTCAATGCATTTTAAAGAAACTACTATTACAACGTCAAAAACAATGTTTTGGATTTTTGTCATACTATTAATTACTTCAGACATTATAGATAGTAAGTGAGGGCAAATTATTATTTATTAGGTACCTTTTATAGTAATAGTACCTATTTACCGTCTCGGCATCTCTCCTTCCGTCAAGTTTTGCTCACCAATCACCGGTACGGCGGTACCTATACATTAAATCTAGAATTGTTGATAGATACCTTTGAGGCGTTGAACCTGAAAGGTATTCATAATATTGAATTATTTCATGGTAGAATAATCGCATACAATTCAGTATATAGTACAGACAATTCATACCGTCGCATATTCAGTATCCAAAATTCCAAAGATGTATTCAGAATTTTCGTGCCCCGATGATATATCACTCTTACAAAAACTTGGAACCTAATATGTCATATGCTATGGAGTATGGATGGAGATGGCTGATGGACCCATGTCTCGATAATTTTAAACACATAGTAGACAGTAGAGACAAGTCTATAATGAAATATATTAAGCGAATAAACTGTGTAGATGATGAGCGAAGAGAAGAAATGTCGCATATTTATATCTATTTGAATTGATGTATTATATAAATATAAAACATTCAAGTGACCAACCGCTAAATATGTTACGATCCACCAAACGTATGCTCATCACGTCAAGCATATAATAGGTACCTACAGTGCAGACTCATCGCTTAAATACGGGCTTCAAATTGTTTGCACGGACGAGATGGGCATTGTTCCATACAAAGTCGTACATGGTATATATGATCTAAACTTGAAACAATTGAAACTATAATCAATTATTTAGCAATGTATAAATAGGATGACATTTTGAAAAAAAAATCACAAATAGGAATGGTATATTTATTATAATTTATTTATAAGCAGAAACAGACTTTTATTTTGCTTTTTTCTAATATATGGTAATAGATGGCCGTAAGACGTCACTCAATGTTTGTGCCTGTAGATAATGCATAGATACATCATGCAGTATACACATTACAGTTTATACATATTTATAATTGTATAAGTTACTAATTAGTAATTACAATACATTAAGCAGTGGTTACACGATGATAGAAAAACGCGATAGGTGCTATCATGAAAAAACTATCTTACGTGCACCATAGTGTAAGATTGAATAAGTACTAAGAAGATAGTAAGATAGTAACTATCTTATAGTTTGTAAGGTAACAGTAAGCTATTGGGAAAGCAACTATCCCGTTTTACTATCATCGTATGACTGGGGCTTTACGTATAGTATAATTTAGGAAATCAACATGTCCAAGCTATGGAATACACTAAAAACAACTTGACAAATTCGGACCCCATTTGGAACAAGTAAATACCGATAATATATATGTTATATACATATCAGATCAGTGGCGTAGTTATGATTTTGTTCTGGGAGGGGGGATATATAATTAGTTGGAGTAAACATAGTGGAAGACTTCAACCCCCACACCTCCTCATAGGGGTTTTATTTATTTTTTTAATAATTCAGTACATAATTACATTTTACTTAAATATTTTAACAACATCGATTGTTTAATTTATAAAAATTGTGTCAGTGGTTATCAGTTTATTATTATCACAATCACTACGAATTGAAAAAAATACTCGTTTATCCATAGATAATATAAGAATAATATGTTTATACATCCGTGAGGTTTACCGAGTGGCGTATGCACACAGATATTTAGAGAAAACTTTATTCTATATATATGTGCGTATATTTTGCGTATGGTACCATAAATAGTTAATATATACAATTTGAGAACAAAGTAAGGACATATTGGATTGAAACATAATATTAGTAATCTTATATATTTGTCGGTTAGGCATTAAACATAAAAAAAGCTCTGGGGATCTATCCTCATCACCTCTCGTCCTCTCCCCCCTCCCCATCATAACAACCGACTACACCATTGTATCAGATTCAGATACCTATAACCTAAAGTATGGAGTATTGGAGTTATATTTTTCACGTTGACAATTCAGATATCTATCTACCATTATCATTGACATATTATCTATATTCTATATAGTATAACCTACTATTATTATAATTATTCCAGGTGGACCGATTGTAAAGGCTCGTGTGGTGAAACTGGCTACATGTCTCGATACCGCAGTACTACGTCAAGTGATATTCTCTGTGAGTTTAATCAAGAGTGGAAAACTTGCCACATATTAGGATGTACAATAAGCAATTACACTAAGTCCACCGAAGGAAACGAACTCAGAACAGGAGAGTTAAATTACATCCTGTTACAAGCGAGAAACGTAAATCGGATGGTTTTAGACGCATGTTTCTCGGGAAACTGCAACTATTACGCCTTGAAGAACGCGTTTACAAATAACACTGTCAGTTTAAAATTTAAATTTGAAATAATCACGGGGCTACAATAAAAAAAGTCTAAACTCCTTACAATAATATTATATGTACTGCCGTGGTGATAAATCGATAACATTTTTTTTTAAATTTATTTTTTTTAGGATCGATTGTGGAACGCGTTATTATGCGTTAAACACAATTTAGGCTGTCCCGGTAAGTGGATGTCAGTAATATAATAATTATTGCTATACGTCTATACCAGCTTTTAGATGGATACTGTAACATATTATTATAAATTATAATTATTATTATTGTTACTACTTTGTCAAGTTAAAGGAGGTTGGAGTAAATGGAGTTCTTGGTCAAAGTGCACAGCGACGTGTGGTTTTGGAATGCAATACCGATTGCGATACTGCGATCATCCTAGCCCTTCAAGATCGTCGCTCAACTGTTCCGGAAACTACATAGAATTTAAAAATTGTTTCGGGAAATCATGTGCAGCTAAAACGAGTACAGTAATTCAAAGTAGATAACTCACCTCAACTTTAAATATAATATTACAATATAAAAAATGAAATTATATTATATTTACCGAGATATTCCTGAATCGATGTGAACAATCTGCTTGTTGCTTATAAATTATAATATTATATTAAACCCCGCAGATGGAACTTGGTGTAAGTGGATGAAATGGTCAGGTTGTAGCGTTCAGCAAGGCAATGGAATCATTGTCCGGAAACGTTTTTGTCGGTCCTCCAACAATAATAACAGTTTTCACATGTCGTGTTCAGGACCACACACTGAAATCGGCCGATGCTACTTGCCTGGTGGTAATATATTATATTATATGTTTGTATGTGTACTGCAGTGTACACTTAGATTTAGAGATAGGCCATATAGTATTGGTAATCTAATAATTGCATGTTTAGACTAGCAGCTGAAGGGAGTAGAACCTTTCGTTTGGAAAAAAAACTGCGGTAATAATATACCGAAACCGATACTATGAAGTACCTACTTATATCGGAATTTCGGCTTTTTAGGATTCATTTTAGATTTTATAAATTTAATGTTTGGCCAATTTCAGACTTAGCTAACTTAGCAATCAGGAGCCTAATTACGGGAGGGGAATATGAGGGATAGACTTCTGTTTTTACAAACCATGAAGTTCGTCTGTTGTAGAAAATGCATACAAAAAATTCAATTCTTTTAATTTTTTTTTTAATATCAATACATTTTTTAAATGCTTGAAAATGTAATACAACGCTCCTCATAATTTGTTATAATAGCAGTTGTGAAATATTAAATTATAGCTAGGGCGCCCCCAGAAGTATAAACCGAGAGCTCTTTGGCCCGCCCACTCATGTCATAAATCTCTGTTAATATAGCTCATTTTATTTTTTTCGTTAACAAATGATAAAACTATTAAACTATTAAACTAAAATAGTGGCCGGCATGCAACCTAACCCTTCTTAGGGCGCCCGTGAATTGTAAGTAGGTAACTTTTTATTAATCATTATGCATAATGCATAAATACCTATTATATCCATCTACTATAATCTATATTTGCATCAGTGCATCACAATAATGCTTCGACATCAGAAAAAAATATTTTATATAGTGCGGTAGGCACCGAATAATCTAAATACAGGTAGTATTTAGGTTAAACAGTGCAATATATAGGTAATTCATTATTTTTCTTTAGAAAATTCAGAAACGTCAAACGGGACCTATAAATATTAACCTATATGGTTCTATGCTGGTTTACACAAAACATTTATAACATTATAAATTTCATTTTGTTTTCAACACGTCCATAACAGTCGATGGAGGTTGGTCTGAATGGCAAAAGTGGAGCCCCTGTTCGGCGACATGCGACGCAGGCACCCGGTACAGGGTACGAAGTTGTAGCCGACCGGAACCGGAAGGACCTGGACGACAATGCTTGGGAGAGACTGTATTAACAAATATTTGTCACGTCGGACCCTGCAAAGGTGTGAAAACAATTGATAATTATTATTAGGTATAATAATATTATCATAAAAACTATGATAGAAATCTGAAATACTGTGGAGTACATGGGCTGCAGTAAACTGCATAGAATAATTATACATAGGTACCTACGTCATATACAATTATATACACGCTTGTTGTATACAATTGTTAGTATTCTTAATTTTATTTTAAATTATATAAGGGGGGGGGGAATTTTTCCTCGGCACACGACCACACCTAACATATATATTAATGTTTTTTACAAAATGTTAACACCTACTTGACTATATATTCTAAAACTTACACATAATATGTCTAATGCCAAATTATACTTTTTAAACGGTATAGGACCACCGATTATGGTGGCCACGTTCAACAAACACTCTCACATTAAGTACGCTGCGATGGAAACGAGTACGACTCTGCTGCACGTAGTTATACAGTTTTATCCTTTTGACATGTCTGGTACCATACTTCGACGGTACGACGATGGTTGCGAAGGTTATTGCAATAGCGTTCATCTGAATATGATCGATTTCTGCCTGGTTTTAACGGTCATTTTAGACGGGTGCAATGTTACACTACAAAGTCCGTTCACAATAAACGTGAGAAACAATCCATCCTATTTATTAAACTTAATATAACTATAACTATATGACCTGTGAAATTATAATAATTAATAAGCTGTGTTCACATACTTAAGCATAGCGTCAGTAGTGAATACAGCGACCTATATCTGCTGTTATAATCGCATATGACCTATATCATATAAATATTATGATTTATGAGTTGAAATAGGAATTTAATTTAATTTTTATCCGTTATTATTTTACCTATAGTTTGGATGGAATGAAGTTTCCTTTTCAATCACTGAGAACAAAGTCACGCTACAACTAAATAACCACCAAACTTCAAAATTCGTAAAATGTACTGTATCGACTTTCACCGTTAATCTAGACCAAGTGACGAGCATCGGAGAAGATTTTGAAGGTTACATAAAAAGGCTTGATGTGAACTTTATACATTACGCATTAACCATAAACGATAAAGTACATATATATATAATTTATATCACCGCGATAAATTCCTTTACACGATCGTTAGGTATGGCACAAGGGCGATTGTAAACTCGCCTGGTTATACTTAAGTATACTACTTGAACTCTGAAGGGCGCATGTAAACTCTCTCGATATCATTATAATTTAATGTTTATAATAATAATAATGAACATACATTTTTTTAAATTTAATATACATTTGAATTTTATTAAAAAGGCCTATTATTTACATTATAGTAAATAATAAAAATAATAATAATTTAAATAATTAAATTAAATTTCTATAGTTGTATAAACATATTATAGATTAAAAAAAAATTAAGGTGTCTGTATTTGGTCTGTTTAGACTCGAGGGAGTTAGTTTACATACCTTTTTCTTCAGCTAAATGTAATGTTGACCCAGAAGAGCTTATCATACAACCGGGAGAGTTTACCACCGGAATTTAGGTCTTAGGTAAACTGTACATCCAAACGTAATATGTCTCCATATTTAGTTTTCAGGTACCATGTATTTACCTTATACGACTTTCAACACAGTATTCGAACTATCGGAAGAACAATTGTATTCAGATTTATTCAACACGATTAAAATCCGTTGTCCGCAATCAAGTAGCCATGGAATCAGGGTTCGGGAACGAAAATAATATGTTCTGTTGTACACAAGTGTTTTGCATTATATACCTAATATTGTGATTTGTATTATATATTTATATTTCAGTTGGAATTATATTTGAGGTTTGAAATTTTAGCCCGAGGAAATTTTATTTCAATCCGAGGCATTACTACGGATTACGTCATGACGGTAGAAATTAATAACGACGTATTCAGACTTAAACTGAAACTAGATGAATATTTTGAAGAAGTATCAATACAATTTGAGGCTATTGATTCGTCGTGGATTCACCTAGAAATCGAACAACACAATAATAGCTGGTGTATGAGCGTAAATGATAAAAAAGGTTCACTGATAATGCCAACTGACGTGTTTGTTGAGTTGTGCGAAAGTCATCTGTACATTGGTAACTTCCCGGTCAGTAAATACTAAATAACTAATGGAAGATAATTTAAGTAATACAAACAAGCACGTAGTTGTAACAATTTTTTTTTTTGAAGGGGATAAAATCAAATTATATATTATGTTAATATTTAATAATAATTTTAAAAAAATCTAATATTTACCCAGTGCGGCAGTGCTTGAGTTAGAAAATAAATAGTAGAGGATTCTGATGACATTTTATATGATAGATAAATAATATTATGTGTAGTTTTAAATATTTTAATTAAGTTAGTTATTTATAATACATTATAAATGCCTGTATCTTAATCTATATAACTAGATATATAAAAATGGATGTTGGAAATCTGAGATTAATTGACTTAAAAACTACTGGGTAGATTTTTACGAGTTTTTTTTACGCAAATTGTTTTGATTTAGTGGTTTTTAATTTTTATCCGACCCTAACACTAATAAAGCGATTTTGTCGAAAATGTCAGAGATTGTTCTTAGAAATAAAAGAAAAGTTTAAAGATGAGTAGTTCGAAAATAAATCAAGTGGCTTATAGAATAAGTCATAGAGGGATTGACATCTCGGTAGAGTTAGTTCATAAAGTGAGATACATCAATTATCAGGATCACTGTTGTACTCTTAGCCTGTTTTATGTTGCTTATTCCCATGTCATATCAGAAAAAATTATGTATTTATACAATTGATCAAAGAACTAATATAATTTTTTACAAAGAAATATTAGAAAGTCAATGTCATGTTCAAATGTTTAAAATATTTAAACTTAAAAATAAAAATTATGGCATGAAACGGACAAAGGCATGCACATTGAACATTATATAATGCTTTAATATATTCAACAAAAATTCTCCACACACCCTCCACATCAAATAAAAATATTACTTTTTTTTTTATTAGCTTCTAGTATAAAATTATTACTTAATGCACATATATTTAATAACTGCAGTATTAAATTTATTCTCCTGTCGGATTCGGCAAAGTTATTTAATACTGATATCGTGTCAACATTAATATCCTTTTCAATATTAATTAACCCTAAACTACTGAATCTTTCTTGGAGCATTGTTGATCTCATCCATGTTTTCAATCTCCTCATGGCGAAAAATGACCTTCCGCAAGTTGCGGAATTGATCGGTTATTGAAATAAGTTATTGCTACATTAAATAGTTTATAATAATTTGGAAAGATTTGTTTTTAATTATTAAACATTAAAGATTTTCAAGAAGAAAAATTCGATACGTATCGATACGGAATAGTTACGTACCACCACTACCACCTCGTATCGAAGTCCGAGTCCGATACGGGTCGGTACGTATCGCTTGTATACTGCACGTGTAACATCTTGAACGCTCAAAATTGACCCGATACGTACCGATACACTCCAAATTCTTTCTTGAAAATCTTGATTAACACTGGTCACTGACACTGACTATTAAAATAATCACGAACTAATAAATAATAATAAAATAATGCTATGACGTTATATCGGCAATATGCTTGATAATCGCTGGGAAACGCGCTAGCGCCTAGCTGTTTACCAGTTTACCCTATATACCCGTACACATATTATATAATATCATAATATCCTACCTTTTAACTATAACTTGTCTATTTATAAGTCTTAGACTCTTAGAACACATAACACATAACACATGTGTCATGTACTCATGTGCGTTATTATAACGCGCGACATTTTTACCGACTATTAAAATGTATAAAAAAAATTTATATTGACCATATTGTACACTTTTACAGTCAAAGGGAACAGTCGAAAAACATTTGATTATTAATAGGTGCATTCAATTTTAATATAAGAGTAAATATTGGTGGGGGGGGGGGAGCTTAGATGGAATCAGGGAGTGCTTACCTTGCGATCTTTTTAATACATTTTTTTTTCATTTATACATAGAATTTTATACTTGCAGACAATGATTGATAATTCCTTACTAGTAGTATTGTTTTTTTAAATTTTTTTGTATTTATAACAAGAAATTATAATAAGTTACCTAATACGAAAAATGTATTCAATACTTAAAAATTGTTAAGGAAAATCAAAATTCGAACCACCTTCAAGGAATCATCGGGTACTTAAGACTGAATGATGATATTTTAAATCCTGCTGACTTTATAATTAGTCCCTTTGGCGAGTTTGATGCCTTTTCACGGAATTTGACAGGTACCTACACTCATTAAATTTGTATTTCTTATTGTGACACTATAATACATTCTATACTTCTATTATATAATTATTTAATAAGATATGCTATACAATGAAGTAACAATGGCTAGTGAAAATGATGTTATTGAATTAAATTGTATTTTCATCAGTGAATTTGAATATGAAGACTTAGACATTGTATGGGTAAAATCTAATCAACTGAGTTTGCACAGAGTTGACTGTAACAAGTAAATATAATTTAAATCTATTACTTAATAGGTATAGTACCTGAGACACTACTCATAACACTTTATAAATAAAATCACCGGTAATCCTTTCACTGCTCCAGACTATTATCATTTGCAAGCAACTGTATAGTTTTAGCCTTTAGGAAACCCTGGCTTGTATTATTTTAAGCTTAAATAATTAGGTAAATTTAAATTAAAAAATAGATAAGCATTTTATTTAACATTGTATAGGTTTATACAGGTTGCAGAACATAAACAGCATAGAAGTAAAAAAGTAAAAATAATATTATGATAATATACTGTGATCTCTAAAATAGCTTCGTATTTAAATCTTTTTCATTAAGTAAAGTTCAATTATAATATTGGTTAACACATTAACCATTCCGAAATTAAATCAAATTATATAAAATATAAACAACTAACATGTTACGTAAGTGATTAGTGTATTTTATTTATTTATTTAATTTATTAGTGTACTTTTATCTGAGTGACTTTTGTTAAAATTATATTTAATATATTATTGAATATTATAAACAGGGTGATTTTTTAAGCATGTGTATCTGAGTATCTCCATTTTACTTTTAATATTACACTTATTCAAATCCTGATTTTTAGAATTTTTAATAGACCTTAAAACCATATTTTCAAATATGTTTATACTACCTCCATTTTTTACTGCAAATTATTTAGGGTGATTTTTTTGAAAATATTGATGTATTTAAATCAAAATTCTAATGAGTAGTTTCTGAGTTATTAAAATGTTTATACTAAGGATAATAATCCTTAAAAATGGTTTCATAAAAGTGAAACTACGTGTATGTTAGATGTAGTATTTGATATTTATTATACTTGGATCATTTTAATAAATTATTTATATTGATAAATCAATAGTATTACTAACTTTTTCAAATCGACAAAGTTCCTCACCTACTTCACCCATTACCATAGACATATTATCCTCAAAACACAAAGTTATATAACTCAAGAACTACTAGCTTACATTTTGATTAGGATACCTATATCAAAATTCTCAATAAAAAATATCTGCTTAATAATTAAGAATGAAAAAGGGAGAATCCTATTTGAAAAACTGAAGTTCGCATTGTCATAGAATCATCCTTAAGTGGTACAAATAATAGCAATGATTTAAAAAATGGTTTTCAAATGTATTAACAAAATTCCTAAAATCTGAATTTTAATGTATGCAAAATTTAACCATAAGATAGGATGAGCATGCTTAAAAAATCACCCTATTTAATAAGTTCAAAAAAACTATACTTAATATAGGGTATTAGGATGTAGGTACTATAATTTTTATTCTGCCTTACTTTTCAAAAATAATATGTATCTTGCTACAAAAGAACTTATCATCTACCTAGTATCAAAATATGATAAACCTTTGTAAGTATGTAGCTGTATATAATGAACTGCAGGCACACCAGAGTCCATTTTTCTAATTTTATCAATAATAATTTATAAAATAATATTATAAAACCAAATTTCTTTAACTTTTGATTGGACAAAATACCTACTTTTAGAACCAATAACAGTTTCAATAATTGACTTATAATTACAGATCTCAAAATTGTATTATTACAACTAACAGACATATATCTGAAATAACAATATTTCCTAAATCTGTACACGATGATTACTTTTATTTATGTATATCGATGAAAATGCAAAAAATTATTTGTGTCCATGGTGTTACAACATTGAAGAATAATATTGACACTGTTCATAATGTGATGAAAACATTTATAATACTCGGGAGAATAATTGCATCTATAGCAATAACATTGTTTCTTATATTTATGATAAAAATAAAATAAAATAACTTTAAATGTGCACATTAGTTTATTTTACATTTAGATCTAATCAACAAGTAAATTTTTAAATGTCTAATGTTTGCGGAAAGCAAAGCTTGAATGAACAAACGTAAAATACAAAAATACAACAAACAGTGTTTGTAAAATAGCAATGATACTGCAAACTAATAGTCTGATGGCAGGTAATTTAATTGTTAGTAATATTATAAGACATGTTCTAAAGACGCTAGTGCCAGTAAACAGTATCATGGCCAGATAAAATATTACATTATTTGTTTCATCCGATATAAAACTAATAACAAGAGTAAACACATAACCATAAAGACCGTATCCTAATAATGACAATATCTGCAAAAAAGATATACTAGACTTTCCTAAACGGGTTAATATATAACAAATTGCTGGCATCGATAGGCAGTATACGGCCAACACTTCGGTGGGTGACCTGTGATAAACGGCTGATGGAGTTTTGTAGGCATGTCCGTAGCCAAGTATTGTGGCCAATAGTATGAACGCCAAACACGGTCCCAAGAAGTCTACGTACACAAATCTAGAGTGGAGTGGTGGTGTGAATGATAGCAATATCCGTTTTGGCAGATCATCAGCAGGCATTGTGAAATACGATAAGGCGCGGGTCACTGAATCCTTGTCTTTCAAAGGCTCCGACCCCACAAATATTATCGAATGGTCTTTCATTGTACAACTAAATAGAATATAGGTCCCGAAATAGGTAGATAGGTATTCAACAGTCTACAACAAATTGACGTATTCACTGTTTACCATCGAGCTTGTTCTTCGTGTCCTTAAGCTTTTCGGTGATGTTTTTCAGAGTTTTTTCTAACTGTTCAGATTTCATATCTTCTGTCAATGATTTCGCACGAATTGCCTTATGAACAACGAACCGTGCAATTGTTTTCATAAAACTCGATTGCGCCAATTTGTCTACCAATTGTTGGTGGTTCATGAAATATTGTAGAATTCTTAACACCATTTTCAATCAGACACGCAAGTACTAAACCGTTTCACGTAAGAAATAATAGAAACATCACCACTATTCACTTTGAGAACATTTTTCATTTCGCAATTCACAGCAATCTCGAAAGTCGAAAGAAATGATAATATCGATTCTAGTCTTAATCTCATACGTCTAGCCAGTGTCACCGACTTCTTTGCTTGTCACTAGTGCACTATAAATATAAAACATTATCTCGGGTATAGTGAACACTGATCACCATCTGATTCAGCCTGCTACAGTAATACCACAGATTATATTAAACTTTTATATAATCTGTGGTAATACTGACTATTTTGTGTTTGTGGTATCAAAAATGCAAAATCCAATAGCCTACCTTGTTCACTGTTGTAACTTGTAACCAGTAACCACGGTCTAAGATTTTTGTAACTGTTGTAACTTGTAACTTGTAGTCAGTACTTATTAGTTACTAGACTTCTATAGTAAATTAGTTCTTACTTGTTGTCACTTGTCGGTGTCCGGTGTTAAGAATTTAAGATTAACTTTGGGGTGGACGTTGAAATTATTCTATTAATCAATAATATTGTATTGCCATAATTAGGTCGCAATACGTGCCTGCGTTTGAATTTTATTCACAGTTCACGAAGACACGGCAAACTAATCGACATTATGGCTCTTGAGAAGTAAGTTTGATTTAAATCATTATTTTCTGTTTTCTTATAAAACTGTGAAAGTAGCGAATATATTGAGTGAAATCTGTGTATTGAGTTGAATATTTGTCGATAAAATGACGAATCGAACAAATAGAGCTTTGGAATATTACAATGATTATATTGACTGTACACAAAACTTGCCTTTGGACATACAGCGACATGTAACACAGATGCGTGAATGTGATTTGGAGTACCAAGAAATGATGTCGAAGATCAGAGAGTTGACAGACAATTTTGATGGTTCTATGTCTACATTAAATTCTGAAAAATTGACAAAGCTATTAGTAACTGGGTTAAATCTAGGGGATAAAAAGGTGCAAACAGTTCAACATATATCTGACTTGGTAGATGATAAAGTCAGACGTTTGGAAAATGGTAGGAAATATTTGACCTCTGCTAAAGAAGCTGATGCTCCCAAACCTAGTATCAAAGAAAAACCAGAGAGTAGTAATTGTTCCAAAGATCGATGCTTACCTAGCACTAGTACTAGTACTGTTTCTAAAGAACTGAAGAAACGTAACACTGATAATGATAGTAACGAATCTAACAATGATGCAAAACTTGCAAAACGGCCCAGACGTAACAGGGCCGATGAACCAGATTACAAAGAAATTTCTGATGATGTGGTGGCCATGTCAGCTTTACAACATTCCAACACACCTTTGCCAAGAGCCACAGCAACAGCACAAGTTCAATCTCAAGTTACATTGAAAAAAGCAACTCAAAAAACAGAAACAAAAACCAAAAAGAAGGGAAAATATAAGAAACAACAGAAAGACAATTCACCTTCATTGGATGATGATGATGATATAGCTGTTGATCCAGATGAACCAACCTATTGTCTTTGTGATCAGATTTCTTATGGAGAGATGATATGTTGTGATAATGATTTATGTCCAATAGAATGGTTTCATTTTTCATGTGTTTCATTATCAACAAAACCAAAAGGCAAATGGTTTTGCCCCAAGTGTCGCGGAGATCGTCCAAATATAATGAAACCTAAAGCTCAGTTTCTCAAGGAACTTGAACGATACAATAAAGAAAAAGAAGATAAAGCTTAAGATTTTGTTTCAAACACAAACAACAATCTACTTAATTTAATTTGATGCTTATACCTATTAAACAATAATTTAACAATAAATTATCTGGTATTTAATTATATAAATCATACAAGTCAAATTCAAGTTTATGTATATATTATTATATGAGTTAAAAAGTAAAATTATGAATATTATTATTTTAACTTAATATTACTTCAACATTTTAATGCATGCAAATTTATCAAACATAAATTTAGCTGTAGGTAGATAATTTCATATTATTTGATAGCATATATCTATGATAGTACTATAATATTTCTATATTATTATTTTATTATTTTTACTATTTTTGTAAAATCATGGTATATCCTAGAATAATATAATACTATTCAAACTAATAAATAGTTAAATAAATTAAATATAAAAAATGTAAATTTTATTTTCTGGAAAAATAATATATTTTATGTGCCCCTCAAATGTTTTATTGTTATTATATTATTGATATTTTTTTTTATATATAACTCCTTACTATTATATTTTATTGTTGTCATTAAGACAAATTGTTTCATTTTTAACTCCCTCCTTTTTGACTTCTTCTTATTAGAACAGAGTGCAGCTTCATATTGGATTTTGTTGAGCTTGCCCAATTGGCTGGCGTCAAAGTTTCACCAAATGTTGCAAGGTAGGTACTAATTTATTAGTAATTTACTGTTAATTATACTTTGGTTGTAACATATTATTTATTCATATCCCGTGTTCATCACTCATATCCATCCTAAAGTTCAAGTGTGCTTAGGAACACCAGTACAGATCCTGTCTTCCTGTAAATGTGCTTTTACTTAGGAGATTGTCCTGTATTTTAATATTTTTCAATGGTTTTGTTTACAGTGCAATGTTAGAACTATTAGATATAGGTTATTCTCCGTCAACCGTCAGAAAAGTGTGTCGTGAGATTGCCAAGTATAAAAGTCGACATGAAAAAACTGGTACTACAATGAATAGCAGCAGTTCAAAATAAAACCAATATAATTTGCTTATTTTTTTTTAAACATTTGATGGCAATTTTGTAAAATAAAGTAATTATGATAATCTATAATTCATTACTAACTATAAATTGAAAATGTATTATGTTTAATTTTTGAATTTGTATACAATTTTTTTTAAAAATCACTGTCAAATATGACATGAACAATTTAAATTTATTTAAATATTTAAGTTTATAGGGTTAAATTTTATGTTAAATAGAAAAAAAATTATTGAATGATGAAAATATACATATTAATAAATAATAAAACTAAAATTGTAATTTTAGTAGGTCCGTTACATTATCACTATCAATCACCCTATACAATCCAACAAAAAATTATACCAACTATTGTTATTTCAATTTTACCCATTTTTGATCCTAATATAAACATTTGTACACTTGCCCTCCTCAAACACCATCAAAATATAGTAATAGTTTTATAATATAAAAATAAAAATATTTTAAATACCTTCTTATATGATTACCCAGCCAAAAATTATTTAAGTTCAAATACAAATACTTTAAAAAAGGATTTATAGATACTTAAAAATACTTGCACATTTTGTACAGCATATTTTTTACCTTATAGATCAGCTAGACTGACTTTCATATTTTACATTAATTTTAAATGGCATATGTTTTACACCGCATAATTTTGTGGAACTTTAAAATACTCAACTGTTTCCATTGTGGAAGTATTTGATTTTCAGCTGAGTATATGTCACAGTAAAAAAAATATATTATTATGTACATTCTTAATTTTTATTTTTATTTTTGGAGATCGAAATTAAAATAGAAAGTTACATTATACAATGTAAACTAAAAAGCATTATTATTAATAAATTAAGTATTTGATTTTAAATAAAGATATTTTGAGAAAGCATTTAAAAAAATTTGTTGAAGTACTTTTACTCAATTACCTTAACATACTACTTTAGCGTAGCATTGTTAAATTTAACTTTGATATTAATGTTATTAATTAATATTTATAAATAATTCATTTTCTTAAATACTCTTAAACTTGGATCAAAATGGGAGGAAAACCAAAAGTAACAGGGTCAATAATATTAATAAAGAGGTTATAAAATACAAGAATGAGATAATTAACGAAAAATTTAGGTCCTTCATAAAGTCTGTTGTACAGTTATATTATTGTTAGATACACAGAAAAGTAATCGATAATCGTTATCGACGCTATTGTAACGTTAAAGAAAAATTATGCTTTATACATGCAGACACGGGACATGTTTCCCTCAAAAGTGTACCTTTCAATTTTCCACTAAATCGATTTTCTTTTCTGTTAGTGTAGTATTTGAATAATATTAATATTATATTAATACTAGTAAAAAGTATATTGCTATTTATAGTTTGCTATTTACTATTACACATACATGGCCCGTTACATAATATATAAATGTTGTTTATTTAAGTACAATTTAATGATAGTAAAAAATTTTCAAAAAATAGTTTTTTTCACCACTAATAAAAAGTCTATATTATATATAAAACAAATTAAAATTTTATTTTTTTTGCATATATATGAGTTATATGATATTTCTTTTAAGAAGTCGTATCTGAAATTTTAAGAAAAAATTAAATATAAATATTGACATTAAATTAAAATAGTCACACTACCTGTCAAGATTTCCATTCGTATACTCAGTTATAAATTGTTGATTTCGATTTTGTCTGTCTCGAACTCGACAATCTCTTGTGCCACGTTTTGTAGATGTGTACTTCTAAGTTTAATATAGACTTCAGTTTGTACTTCATTAATCGAAACAGCTACCAAAGTATTGATAGACGCCGATTCCTTATAATAACTTTGATTAAAATTCGAATGGAATGACTCACAATTTTTTATCGTTCGTCTTATTCTTATATCATAAAAGTGCAACAAAAATAAAAATAAAAATAAAAATTTAACTTATAACTTTTTCATTTGGCGGAAAAGTGATTTGGGAGAAAAGGCCAAAGGAAGGTACACTTTTGGCGGAAACGGGTAACTCCCCTGTACACAATGCCCGGCTATTGTATTACAATGACCAGGCAACGTACCCAAATTATAAGCAGATTCAGCTTTGCCCAAATATGACGAGCATTGTGCACTATGTCCGGGCACTGTATTACAATGCCCGAATTATACACTTTGACTATAACATATACATGCGTACATCGTGATCTATATATACATAGCAGCAGTCATGTCAAACTAAAAGTATACTTATTAACAGTATTGACTGGGCAAATTACAGAGTTGTGGCCCACACATCAAAATGTATAATATTAAAAAAAAACATTTTATACAAATTATTTTTTTGTTCATTATAGTTACAGTACTGAACGATAATTATTCAATTAGTTTAGCAGAAGATAAGTCAGAAAAGTAACATAATGTACACCTCTCATTAACATAGTAATAAGTGACTCAAAAGGAAATTTGTAGGGGTAATTACTTTTTTTCAATTGTTCAATAATCAAAAAATGAGCCGAGGGCTACTTGTTTGACACGGCTGATGTACAGTACCTATTATTCAAAATATGCACCCCGGCCACTTTTATTGCTTGAATATAACTAATTAATTTATTAAAATTCTAACACTTTAAAAACTTTTTTAAAATGTTTGCTGCCACTTTAACTTGACTCAATTTAAACACAATAATAAAGTGTATACTCTATTCAATTCAAAACATATTTTAAAATTAAAATAGTATAAAGTATAAATAATAAAAATATTTAATGAGATAAGTGAAATTGCTTTTTATTATTACAAATATTCTAAATATTGGGATTTATTGATGAAGGTTGAATTATCAAATTAGATTCAGCATCAAGTCTGTTGCAGTATTTTGTTTTTATTGGTAAATTTTTTATCAATGACGTTTAAATATTATTTCTGTATAACGTATAAGCACTATAGTCTTGCACTAACCATATTTCCCACCCTCGACCATTATATCGACTCACGACTGTGCATAATATAATATTGTTGCCACGTTAAAACGTATTATATTATACGTCTTTGTATATTATGTATTATAATGAGTAAGTGTAATAATAATATATTATAATACTATAGCCTATAGGTATAGCCGTATAGGTAGGTATGCTTGTATGTTAGAATAATATAAAGACGACAACCGATCTTTTACGAAGTATTATGCTGACGCGCTATATATGTATCCTATATTAATAGATGGCCAGACCCTACCCAGTCTGGCTCTGGATCTAAGTATAAACCAAAAATGGAGTTCAAATGTTTTTCGCGCATTTATTTTCTGATCAATCTTTACTCCATAACTAATATATGCGAATGAACATTTGTTCCAAAATGTGTTTTGTTCAATAAACCCCGTGGAACAAATAAACTATTTTTTTTTTTTTATATCATAACAAACGTTCTTCGGATTATTGGAACCATATAGACCTATGACTAAAGTTAGTAGATCTATGATCGGAACCACGACTTGTCCACAGTGGATTCACACCTCGCCATGCCGTTAAGTGTTGCGTATATTTCATAGATAGGTAACAAAATGTTGGTCACACGTTACTTGCAAGTTGAATATTACACTACATAAAGAGCTGTGAATTCCCCTTCAGTGTTTAAGATGTGTCTCGGAACGAAACACCTGTATAAAAGATATGATAAATTGTTGGAACTTTTAAGATATTAATATATTTTATGAATAAAATGTCCATCAGGACAAATTTATTTTCACAAATAATATGCACTAAACATATTTTTAATCAAAATATGTAAGTGGAAACCACAGCCCACAGGTATACAGGGTGATCCAACAAGTATGCTCACCCCCCCTTTTTCCTTAATAATGAAGTTTTTCAAAATCTGATTTTTGGTATTTTTAAATATTTAAACTAAACTAAAAGACCATATTTCATATTTTTGAGATTTTTTGTACCACTTACGGAGTGTCCTGTACTCCTGTGGCAATACAAACTTTTGTTTTTCAAATGGGAACCCCAATTTTTACAGTATTTTACAAATTGTCCAAGAACTAGGAAACCACTCGTTCGAATTTTGATTTCGATGCACCAAAATTCTCAAAAAAATTATCCGCTAAATAATTTAAAGAAAAAAAGTGGGGTTCTCATTTGAAAAACTAAGAGGTTTGTATCACCACAGGCACAGGATACTCCTTAAGTGGCACAAAAAATCTCAAGAATATGAAAAGGTCTTTGAATATATTTATAGATTCCAAAAATCAGATTTTGAAAAACTTCATTATTAAAGAAAAAAAGGGGGGTGAGCATACTTGTTGGATCACATTGTATATAAAAATTAAAAATAGTTACTAATTGTTTGTGTATCTGTGGTAGGAACAAAGATAAAATGTGGAAATTAATACAGTTGGAATAAGTTGAGTTGGGAAAAAAACGTGTGGAACAAAAGGTGCATATGGCTGTGTGTCCGTGGTATCAGTGGTAGCGCTCTCTTGTGACGTTGCAACACAATCATTTTATCAATATTTTCGCGGATAGTCGACGACAGTCAGCACTGAGTTAGTGTCTGTTCGGTGAATTATAGTGCGCTTTACTTTGTCGTCGTTTCGTAACAACTAATAGCTACAAAGCGATCGATCTATTTTGCTGGATTGCAGTACAATCACGATCATCACTGGCTTGTGGTAAAGAAAAGTGCGATAAAAAAAATAAATACCCATAACTGTTTGCCTGCGCGCATTAACAAGTTAATATAACAAAAAAAGTCTTTGCTCTACTTAGTGCGTTTTCAGTTTTTTCATATTTTTTCTGACCGTTCAAAAGTCGACATGTCGAGTAACGAGGAAAAAGCCATGGCCCTGTTAACCGAAGCGGATAAGAAACTCAACTCGTCAAAAGGATTGTTTTCTTCATTATTCGGGTGAGTGTTGAGGGTGGTTATACATCGAAAAACTCGATTTCTGTTCTAGTTGAAGGCGGGGTGGGGGTTTTTGGTGTTGAAGTTTTCGAGTCGTAGCCGTTTTGGAAAGTTGGCGTGGCATGGCTTACGAGTATGCATTGGTTTTTTTTATTATCTGGTGAAAGGGAGGTGAGGAGCCATCAAAATTGTCACTTTTCGTCCTTATTTCTCAATTTTAGATAATGACGCTTCTAACCTGTTTTTATCTTTTCGATTGTTAGGTAATCCATTACAGTATTGTATTTGTAAGAAACCATGTCTTACACAATTCTGATTATACCCACAAAGGCGAAATCACACTCTATGCTAATTCCCTTAGACAAAGACACACCATAGATTTTATACTAACAATAATTTGTAATCAGAAAGTTCTCATGGTTTTGATGTAGGTACTGCCATACAGGTATACTCGTTTTCATTCTATTTGATTCACTTCCTGTATGCATGTATTATTAATAGTGTAAGCAATGATTTGATTTGAGGATAAATAATTTATATCCATAGGTTAGTTATCTGTTGTATTAGTACTTTTTTAATTATGTGTCACATTTGAATCATTAGAGTACTCAATGTCACTATAATGATTTCATTTAACACTATTTATAATACGGATGTTGATTTTGGAGTATTGAATTATTCATAGTAATTTAACATTAATGCATTTCATTCTCCTTTTTTACATGCTAATATTCACATTAAACATACTTGATTTATTCATGTAAATAATTTCAAATAATACTGAAAATGTTGCATTTATTTTTTTGTTAGAAAATACAAATACCTACCTACCTAAAAATAATTGGGACAACAAACTTGTCTCAATTATTTCTTTTCAATAGATTCTTAATACCTCAACTGAACAAAATATAGGTATCTATAACATTTTCAAGTATTTTTTTGCCCATCATTTAACATTTTAATACTAGAAGTAATTTAGTAGTTAGCGGGTAGTTAATGAGTTATAATTTGTATTATCATGATGACTACCATTGAAATACCGTCGGAAATACCATTGTTGATTTTATAAAAATATTATGTGCCTATCATTAAATAAAATATTATGTGTTATAGACATACATAAATAAATAAAATCAACTTACAATATTTCATAGTATACAAATATTAAATATTATATTTTAATACAAATTAATGGTTGGTGAATTTTATTTGTTTTAGATTACTAGATTAGTGAATTATGAATAAACATAATTGTGTACTCAAATTAAATATTTTATAAATTGTAATTTAGTACCTATACTATTATTTATACCTAGATTCCTAGGCGCAAACATGTATCAATGATTTAAATTTTTAACTGTTTGTCAATTTCTGTAAGATGTAAAGTGTTAATTTTAATAACTCTGATTTAGAGTATAATCTATAGATAGTTAGACTTTGTAATTGAAACACTTAAAAATACTTTACATCACAGGGTATCCTTTATAGGCAAGGTGAGATGAAAGATAAGGTTATGTTAGGATGTAGGCACGGTTGAATATGTATTATGCTATATAGGCTTATAAAATATATAGTTTGAATACCTACCAAAGATCAATTCAATTGAAACTTGAAAGTGTCAATCTGTAATTGTATAAAAATTGTATCAGTGTTTGTAGCAATTATAGCTATACTTAACTAATTTTGATAACCTAAACAAGATGTATTTCAACCACCTACATAGTGCTACTTTGCTTAAAGTTATCAACATTGTGAATTAGAAATCAGTCAATCAAAATTAAAAATTAAAAATTATCATTATATTTAAATAAAGTAATTCAAGTTGTATAATAAATTATTGTTTACAAAAAAAAAAAATAGTATTTAAGTAAATTCTTAATGCTTCAAAAACTTCCTATCACTTACCATATTTACTCTTTTTCTACTTAAACCAAAATACATATTGTATTGAAAAAATAATACATTTTATTTAATAATTTTTTTGATGACCTGTAGAAAAATGAAAACATTTTTTGGACAGTATGTACCTAACAATATTTTTATATAATTAATAACTAACTATTGATGATTAAATTCAAATAAGTTGTATACAAAATATGCATTTTTTATAACTATGACTATCTAATTATAAATTGTAACCTAACTGTTATTTTTTTAAATTATTTGTTTAGGAATGTTTCTAAGGTAGAAGATGCAATTGATTGCTATCAACGTGCTGCAAATTTATTTAAGATGGCGAAAAAATGGTCACAAGCTGGTAGAGCATTTATTTTGGCAGCCGATCTCAACTCTAAATCAGGCCGTAAACATGATGCTGCTACAAATTATGTAGACGCAGCAAACTGCTTTAAGAAAACTGATCCGAATGGTATGATTGTATATTCAATCAATAGTATTTTATTTTTGAAATATTCTAAATTTACTTGTGTGACTCGCGAACAAAATTTAAAGTGTTATAATTATGTATTTTTTATTTTTTGCTTGTATTTGAGTTTAATCTAAACCTTCTAAACTACCTTTTAATATTTTATAAAGTTTTTATGGATTTTTTATAGATAGGTAGGTATTACTAGTAACAGTTGTTACTTTCTTTTATATCTTTATTTTGCATCCAATTGCTATAATTATATAATACTAAATTGTTTGTTATTTTTTTTCATTATAGAAGCTGCAATGTGTCTGGAAAAAGCTATCGACATCTATACAGATATGGGTCGTTTTACAATGGCTGCAAAACAACATCAAAATATAGCGGAAATGTATGAGACTGAAGCTGTTGATCTAGAACGTGCTATAACCAACTATGAAAAGGCCTCAGATTATTTTATGGCTGAAGAAAGCAAGAGTTCAGCTAACAAATGCAAACTCAAGGTGGCACAGTATGCTGCACAACTGGAAGATTATGACCGAGCCATTCAGATATATGAAGAGGTATAACTGTAGTTGATGTAGGACATTGGTTTTAATTGTTAAATGTATATCATATCATTGTGCTGTTGTAGGTTGCTGGGACATCATTGGACAGTTCTTTGTTGAAGTACAGCGCAAAAGAATATTACTTCCGAGCAGCTTTATGTCATTTGTGTGTTGATGTTCTTAATGCTCAACTGGCCATGAATCAGTACACTGAACGATACCCGGCATTCCAAGATAGTAGAGAATACAAATTACTACAGGTGAATAATATTATTTTGTTTTTGTAAATAATTATTTAAAAATAATTAACTGATGCCAAATACTAGTTACATTCATACATATAACTTTTATGGAACAATTTTCTCTGATTTGAAATGTAGGCATTAAATATTTTTACAACTATATGTTGTCAGTTATCGATTTGAATTATTATAATAGATTATAATAGTAAAACTAATTCTGTTTATATCATACTGTTTTTGAACTATGAAAATTTGTTAAGTATTTTGAAAATTAATCTTCTATTGCTATTTGCATTGAGTTGACAACAAACATAATAAAGTGTTTTAGTCTAATTATAATAATTACATACATAATTTAGAAAGACATCTTATTTACGTACAATATATTGAAGTTGCAAAAAAAAAAAAATTAACAGCTTATTTTATAGAACATCTTAAGATTTGTTTTTAAACTATTTATTTTTCCTTAAGGTGTTGTTAAACCACATTCAAGAGCAAAATGCTGATGGTTTTACTGAAGCTGTTAAAGATTACGATTCCATATCACGGTTGGACCAATGGTATACAACAATACTATTGCGCATTAAGAAACTGGTAAATGATACTCCAGATTTGCGTTAACTTTGTTTATGAATAAGTACATATTTTTAAATTCCTTAATTTATAAATTTACTCTCATAGAAAGCAACCAAAAAAAAAGTGTACGGTATTTGTGTATGTTTTTATTCCTTGCACATACTAAAAGTCAGGAAATGAAACTTATATAATATAATGTAATATTTTTTTTTGCACTGCATGTTTACAACTTTGCGGTTTTGTTTAAATGGTATTCAACTATTTAATTATTGAAAATCATTTAAAAAAGACCTAGATTTGACAGATAACATTTTTTTTGGTGTTAACAGATTTGTTATAAAATGTCCTAACCTAGTATTTTATAATATTTAAAAAATTAGCCTACATTCCTTTCTGTATGTTAAATGTCGATTTGCAATGTCGCTTGTTATTCTATTTGGTGCAGCTACCTATCATGTTTGACTAAAAGCACTTGTGTTTGTTTACTGAACGATTTGCAAAAATGTTTTCAAAAAGAAAAGAAAAAATTAGCTTAATGAAATTGATTATCCTAATTATTATATTTTTTTTTTACCAATCATATCGTATTTACATCGAGTATGGATAAAATATACATTATACGTGTATTAAAAATCGAACAGCAAAAAAATATATTAATAATACAATTAATGTAATATAGAATGTCTAGATGAGCTACGTTGTATAGAAAAAATCGTAGGCTTATTATGTGTTGCCGTAGACAAGTATAATACACTTATATGACTAATTTCATCGTATATTATATTATATTCATATTATTAACCAATATTGTTAATGTTTATTATTATTAATTTTTTTTTAATTGTAAATAGAATATTGTTACAAATTTTTTTTTATCTAAAATTTACCTTGAAATTTGTTTTATGACTATTATATGACTGTTTCAACTTTATTAGTTATCTATTAATGGTGTTGATTATGTTGTTTAAATTTATAAAGATATTATTATTACTATTATTGAATTGTGTACATATATGTTTTTTTAAGTTTAGCATCATAGAATTTGGAACCGAAAATAGATATTTCAAAAAATATTATGATAATGCACTTATTGTTTTCTTTATTTCCTATTGGCTATTTGTTATGTTTGTACGATTAAATTGTACAAGAGGTAAAACAAGTGTTGTCTTAGGTGTAGGTATTAGCCAAATTATAAAGTTACTGTAAAAATCAAAATTTATGACATATTTTATAATAAATTGTGTATACATCCAAAAGTGCTTTTTTGGGTACCTATATTATAATATGTTGTATGAGGTCTAATAGGTCTATCAATCAAATATTTAAAAAAATATTAACAATAGATATTAGATAACAAGTAGATTGATTTTCAAATATGAATTTAAAACTATTCTTTTGCGCATCTTTTTGGTAGGACCGTATTGACCTAGGTGCAAAAGGAACATTTGCTCCTGGCGACAGAATTTATATTACTCAACAAAAAAAAATTATATGTTGTAATTATTATTTATGAATAATTTGTTTTTTATAACACTAATTACTATGACATTTTAAAAAATAATTTATAAATGAATATCATAATGTTAAATGACTTAGGTATATTCTTAAATTTGAACATTACTATATTTTTTTTTTGTGCTGGGGATAGACCAAAAATTGTGTACTCCGTGGTGGCATTGATTTTTAATTCAGAGCATTCTATTGGCAGAAAGATGAATTCATGAAAATACAATATATAATAATTTAGTTACTCATTTTTTTTATCTCAAAATGTTTCAAATAAATGACTGTATACAGTGTGGCGTTGTGGATAATTGTAAAGTCTCCTTGGAGAATTTCAACTATCACTAAATTAAACTAGATGAGTCCACATACAAATTATAGTAACATAGTGTTAAATAAAATAGAATAATGAATTACTCATTTACCGCTTATAAAAAAGATTTAATGCATAACTGTAACAAATGAAGATGATAACTTGTTAAAGTTAAGCATGATAGTTAAAATGAATTGACCATATAATAATAAACTATATTTATTTATTAACTATGTATATAACATATTTAATTGTTAAGCTGTCGTAGTCCTGTATTAATAACTAATAACATTTTAAAAAATAAAATATTTACATGGCAAAGCTGTTAGTATTTAATTTGATTTTAGATTTATACGTTATGTCATTGCAATGGAATTTTGTTTATCTGTATATTCATTCAGCACAATTTTCATGCTAGATATACAGTCACTAGTCAGCATTGAAATTAATTAAATATGTGCATTTATCTTGTATATCAAAAACTAATGTAAGCTTTGACTTTAGACTGCCGAGCTATTAATGGAATTTGAAAAAAGCATAACCTCATTGAGGTTACCTCAATATTCATGTCTATAGGTCAGAGGTTCCCAAACTTCTTATTGTGCGACCCATTTTGAATTTTTTTTTAAATATAGCGACCCACAATATCAATGAATGACTTTTTTTTTTTTTACCATACAACAGAAAATTAAACTATTTTATTACATTTTATGTAATTACGAAAAAAATGTATAATAAGTATAATATATAGTATTTGACACGGCCGCTGGTAAACTCGTAATTTGTCATACTCACAGATAAGGATTGACGATAAAACTGAATTTGAACTTTGAACATCAACGAAAAGTAATAGATGATTATATTTTTGTATTATTTAAAAAAATAGTGCGACCCACCAAAAGTATAATCGCGACCCACAGTTTGGGAACCTCTGCTATAGGTACTTAACTCTGTAGTAAAAGTTACTTTATCTAGTAGGCAGTACTGCAGTAGGTATTGTAATTTATGCAAAATAAACATTTTATATTATAAAATATGGTACCATTTTTACCAATCATAGTATTCAAATAGTTAATAGGTAGGTGTCTATGTATAATACCTATATATTATGGGTGACAATCGAAAATTGACAAAATGCATGGTTTTTCACAATACATACAATTAAAAAAAAAACATATATGTATTTATAATTTATATTAATGTAGTAATGTCTAAAATATGGGAAATAAGTACATTTTTGTACTTGAAATGTTAATTTCTCGAGAACCAAATTTATATCTCACTTATATTTTTGAATTCATAAGGAAATTCATCGATCTGCAGGAATTCAAAATTATTAGGTAGGTACCTGACTTTCTCCTTTTTTGATTATAATTTATGACCTTCTATATTAATATTTATTGTATAAAATTAATGTATTTATGTTTATAAAATGATTTGAATCACTCGGCTTAACTGTTGAATGTTGATTATGTTATGTACCTGATTGAAAAAAAGCCCTAATTTTCTCTATTGTATAGGTTATGGGCACGTTTAACGGGAGGCAAAGGTGGCAAAATTTTAAAGCATCTTACATGCGGCATTTCGAATTTGTATACAGATTTTTCATAAAATGTTTTGGTTTTTTCGTAATAAATACATTTTTTTATCAGTGATTTAAAATTTTATAAATGTTAAGTTATTTAAGTAATATAATATAAAATATATTTCTGTAATAATAAACATACCTAGGTACTTATTCAGTCATATAGAGATCTAAGTATAAAATATGTTGAATTCGAATGAATACAATGTGTCTAGGCAGTTGAGATTCATCAAATAAGGTGTTGCGGGCCGTGGCATCTCCGCATACATAATATAATATTATAACAATGTAATATAGAATATATTAACCTTTCATAATGTTATTACGGTCTTAAACTCCATATATATAATTGACATAAATATTATAACAATGTAGTAGGTATCGAATATGTACTATCTGCCCCTATCTATGTAATAAATCACTGGACAGGTACACGACTAGAAATCATGGACACGAGTGACTATTCTAAGAATCGGCAACAACAACCGAAAACACACACACGTACAAGCTGCACGTGCCGCTGCATCAAAAGAACCGCCATCACTTATAAGGGAGCCCGTGGGACAGCCTGGGCAGATGTATCATAGCCACGGAGACCAGAGCAACTTCTCGTCACACGCGCACACGCTATTATACACTTAAAATAATTTCTGCTAAATAAACGTTATTCTACAGTTCAATTTGATACTTGTTTGATTTGTCTCTAAAGCTTACGGCTTTTGGAGCCTTTGAGATTACGCACACAACAAAGGATATTATTGTACAGACGTACACCTACTGTAGTGTTATTTTCTAGCACCCCCAAAAAAAATGAGTGGAAAAAATATTTTGTTTTTTTTTTGATATTTTTAAAATAAATTAAGTATTTGTTGATTTTATATTCAATTTTATGAATTTATCAAAGTGCTGTTAATATACCTATTATACAATTTATTCAAAATTTTCAATTTCCATGTTCACAGCCCACAGGATCGTATTTTTTTTTGTTTCAGTTGTTTTTATTAGTTTCCATAGCAACAGAACAAAATATAAATTATATTTCATATGATTAATTTAACCATCGATTATATCGTACGTAATTGAGTTATGTATTTAGGCACATGTTACCTATATTAATACTACTTAGTACCTACTATTCAAAATAATTGGAAAAACAAGAGATTTTATAGATTAACAAACAACGTTAAAACCGAGGATTCGATAATTTTGTAACGTATTAAATTCGGTATTAATGAATTATAAAAATTGAACCAATGAAGTCGGTTTCTTAATTTTATTTTTGATTAAAAAATTATTTATTTATTATTTTTATTTTAATGGCGCAATTGATTCATACTTTTTTATTGACGATTGTAAACTCCGCCAGAATACAGGTTAGATAAAAAGGTAATGAATAGGTCTAATGTATACTCCGTCATTTTTATTTTCTTACCTGTAATGGATACATGGAAATTCCACCAGTTCTTATGTAAAACTTAATAATATATCTCAACTAAATAAGCTCAAAAATCCAAAATGATAGTGTTAGAGAACTTTATAGTTATCATAATGGATTTATATTAGACTGAGAAGTCAGAATATCTGCAAATTGTATCTTATCATTTTATTTTACAGTTCAACATATTATAACATAACATAACACACCTAGGTTGCTATGTATAAATTGCATGATTATTACAATTATTTGTTATGATAATTCACATGGCAATTTATTTGGATGATATGTTCTATAATTATTATTTTTATTAATTTTTGTAAATTTTTTATTATATTATAATAATGTACATAATATATGCCCTATATATTACTGTTATACTGTGACTTGATTTTTTTCACTGGCAGAGTTTACACTAAAAAGAGGTACTTGTGGCGGAGTTTACATGCGCCCCTTTTTAGTAGGTATAATTTTTTTGTACCGGTGTCGCAGGATTCTATTACCCTAAATAATTTTTGTTAAAATTACATGGCTTAACATTTTAACTTTTGAGATGTATAAATTACTAGCTGATACCGTACACTTCGTTGCCCGTAAAAAATGCCACCACTTTAATAAATTAATAACAACCACCGCATAATTACTCAATTATAGTTAGGTACCTGAGTTCATACAATATCTACATGCCATTATTGCCATGTTAAACCATATCGTCAGAGACAATACTTTACAAATTGTTTTTTATTCTTTACTAATTTTATTTTACTAGATAGATGGTGCCACCAGTTTATTCCCATTTTATCATTCAATATTTCGTGGACTAAAATTGGGTTCATAAGACTATATAAGACTATGCTTTAAATCTGGTCCGCAAAATACTCAACCATTTCGAAAAAATCGCATGACTATCAAATGAGTGGTTCTAGAGCAACATCCGTGACAAAATTTCCATTTTTCTATTTATATGTATAGATAAATATAAGTTAAAATAACAGGTTTCAAAATAAATTTAAAATACTAATTTGGTTAGAAATTCCAGGATTTTTGTTCTTGGTTAGATCTTCATTGAGAGCTTCTTCTAATAATTGTTTGGTATTGATAAAGTATTTCGTATGTTTTGCAATCCTTGTCAATAGCTTGTAACTAGAGCACAGATTTTTATGCATTAAAAAGATTCAAAATATGCCATAAAAGTATGTGGTTAAAATAGTGAAAATATGCAACAAATTTGAAGGGCAAAAATTAATATGGT